ATCACGAAGTGACATCAGATAAAATGCCGTGACGCTATTTAGTCAAATGGATGAATGAATTTCGCGCCAAAATCACAGACCTGTTATCTTATATCTGATTGGTTCGTCCATAAATTATAATCTCATCATGTACATCTCTAACTTCAATCGATTCGGGATATCAAGCAACTATTCTTCAATGTACTTGACGAGTATCTGTCTCACATATGACATGGTTGAACTCCACTAGAACTCCGGAATATTACCTTTTGATTTTATTCAATAGCCAGAACATGACTAGTTAATATAGTTGTTTGTATAGATTATCCAATTTTATAGTTAACTTCAAGGAATAATCTTAGTTAAACAATCACTGAAATTTAAGATAAATTAGTCATATTCTCAAAAACTCCTTAATTTTAATCTTAGTACATTTAAAACTCTGATATTCTTATATCATATTATCGCAGCAAATTCTTTCTAAGGTCAATATTAAATAAATAGAAGTACTGTTCGTTCATAAAATTATATAATCCCCACTTATATATGTTGACCGACATAATCGAGTGCTCAGGATAGTTAATGATATGATCTATATGGAAGAGTTGGATTGCTGCAGATCACAAGTCCTCTGGCGTTTTATAAAAAACATACTTCTAGTTAATTTTTATCCATTACCTGATATGGATTTACCAAGTGTGTTACAGTTAAATAACCCAGATAAAAAGAACGAATAACGTAAAATTGATGTCATGAGATGTAATCTTTAATGAAAATTACATCCCAAAAAGTAGCAGTGATTCTTGAAATGAATGAAGAAGTGACGACTTACTAGATATTGCAGTGAATATTTTTAGGTAAAATTAAACTACTTACATGTGATAAGTAGTGCAAAAGTAAACTTAAAATTATAATTCAGGATTTACTCAACGTAGTCACGTCAACTAATTTTATAATAGATAGGAATTATTATCAATTTTTCTTCAATTTGATCGACGGTTTCTTGGATATTCTAGTATAATCTCAATTAAAAATAAAAATAGAGCTGGAAATTTTTAACATTTGTGGTATTCACCCACTATATCTAAATATACTTCATTGAACACGTACATAAAGTCAGTCAGTCATCTACAACGTGGGACTAGGGACATATATACATCGATTCTAGTTGCCACACTTCATTAGCTTAACAAGATGAACACCGAACTCATAGTAGTCACTTCAATGGTGGTAATGTATAAAAAAAAGATTGTGTACAAGCATATAGTACAGGAAGAAAGAATTAGTTAGTATAAAGAAAGATATGAAATAATTTTAATCTCATAGTTCAAGGGAAAACAGAGAGTGTATACACCTACGCCATTGTGATCGATTTTGAGCCATGTCACCCAGTCTCCAACTATTGGTTACGATAGTCACACCGCACCACAACTAATCAACTGATTTACCTTCATTCCCTAATATCCTGTATCTAACCTCACTACTACTTACCCAGTGATCCCATCAATATTTCTAAGGCATGTGTGGTCAAATACTAGTAGCTTACGAATATCTTTTACTCTTAATCCCCACGTTTCTCAACCGTAAAATAGAACAGAACGAACTGCTACACAGTATACTCGTCCCTTATTTGACAGACGGATATCTCACCTTCGTTATGGGCGACGTAAGTTGGCAAAAGCCAAACGAGCCTTTTCAATCCGTGCTGAGATTTCGTCAGACAGCAACCCATTAGGGCTGACCAGACTTGCAAGATAAGTGAAGTTGTCGATGTGTTTGACTACTTCACTCCTTATCCTTAGTTCAGGTGTTGACGCAGGCCGGTCGTGAAGCAACAATTTACATTTAGAAGGGGAGGAACGAATAGCAAACATCGTGTTGTTGGGCATCTGCTAAGAGTACCATGTCTGACAGTTTAGCTTTTTGAAGTTCAGAAAGTTTTCTGTAAAGTCATCTTTCACTTCATCCGGGCTGTAATGAGTGGGAGTGTAGGTAGAGACGTGTGTTTATCTTTCTGAGTTCTTACGGAGCCGTTTAGCCGAACAATATAGGTGACTGTTAACGGGGATCCATTCTAATAATGCTCATTCCTTCCTCATACTTAGTACTATACCTACACCTGCCAGTCCATGAGAACTAGTCATCGGGTGGCCAGATTGAATTGAATTACCGTCACTATGCCCACATAAACGTTGTCGAACCTCTGCATTACCAGCATGATGTTGCAATTGGACGTCAGCAATCCGTCGTAAGCAACGATGATCAAACACCAAGAGTATTCTAACATCCTCAATTCGAAGAGGCCAGGTTTCATAAACATAAAGCAAAACTGCTCTCACTGACGCGTTGTAAACTCAGACTTTTGCATCCACACCGTCACGAAGGCGCCAAAGATGGCCCAGATTAGCGTGCACCACCCTGGCTTTCATTATACGAGATCTGATCTCATCTCTCATTCCACTATCAGCACTTACGTAGGTACCTAGATATGTACTTGAATACATATTTTCTTGTCCCATATTTCACAATACTGAAAATACAAGTTTGTATAGCTGGATTTATAAAAGGAAGAACACGTAAGAAAAATTGTCTACCTATTTTTAGATTAGATCTAGAGAAGTGTTGGGAATGCTAGATCCGCAGATATCACTTAGCAAATGTCTCATTTTTGTAATACTACAGAGATCCGAACTTCTCATTTTTGCGCCAAAAGCGCCCATTTTCACCTTAAATTTGTATTTGACACCTGCAAGGACCTTAAGTGTCATTAGTTCGTTTACTCTTTTAGTACGCTATTTTGTGACATTTTCCAAAGACATTTTTATACTATATATACACATGAGTTGTTTTTTTGTTTGTGCTTCCGACTGCTTGTGGAATATATATTTTTCCTGGATGAATCTGGTCTTCTCCCTTTAGTTAGTATGGCTGGAATAGCTTAGCTTGTCCTCTTGTTGTGTTGCTGACTTTTGTTCCGTTCGCAGGTTCTAGTTGACATCTTCATCTCTTCAAACGTATCTAAAAGCCATCACCATTGGAGCCCAAACAAGTCGGATGAGGCAGTGGAAGATGATTGTAAGATATTGCTTGTTTATTTAATTTGGTAAGGTGAACCGCCCATCGGGAGATTCGGTGATAAATCTTGTTAAATTAAACGCTTTATTCGGTTCCCAAGCTATTCTGGTAACCCGCAAGCTAGAACTACGCGGCGACCCGAACACGGGAGAAAGGGTGCAAAATATTCGAGAAGTGCTTTACTCTAAAAGGTTCATTTTTGTACAGAAAAACACGGTTATTCATAGATTATTAGCATTTGTCAAATCAACATTATAGTTTTGGCCAATCCGCTAAGAGACATATTATGTTACAGACCAATAGTAGCATACCACGTTAATTAATATTCTAGAAAGTGTGGGGCCATTTATTTCGTCGTCATTTAGATCCGACGATGTTGTCAAAGGGCTCTCCACTTTAGTGGCCCGAGATCTGATTCCAAGTAGATCGCATGAATGGTTGTTATTGAATTGTATATATCGCCTACCCTCCTATATAATCATCGACTTAAATCACGTTAGTCAATAACGGAATTAAATAAGTCAAATAACGAGAATGGACTTTTGAATACATGTATTTTGTATATGAAGCGAATGAAATAGAAAGAAGCGAAACAACGCACAGTAGAGATGGCTGGTAAGGCAACTCCCATTTAACCAAGAGTTAATTAATAATTATAGTTACACAAAAGTAAGTTACAGACATGTGATGAGTAATGGGATAAGAAGTGTACACACACCTACGCGCTTATATAAAAACAGTCAAGATTGATAAGCGAATAATTAGCAAGGTTAGAATGTGAATCAAGTAGAATGGGCTGTCCAAAAACTAGAATAAGGTGTATGGGCTTACCATAATAACAGACACTAAAAAAGCTCCCTCATGCTCTGATTGGCTGGATACTCCTCGGCTCCTTTAGGGCCTTTGGAGGCTTTGTTGTAGTTCTCGAAAGCCGACTCAACATTTGTAGGTCCTGAATTTAATTACCTCTAATGGGGTCATAAAGCCCTATTACTGAGAAGTTCCATATTAGAACGAAATAGCTGTTCAATGCTCCTAGTTTTTAGTGGTCATCTAACTACGATCAACCAATGATAGAAATTATCAAACCCAACAATCTCCACAAATACTTTTCGAGTTTTAAATCACACTTAGTTAAGCATATGTCACTAAGGAAAGAAAAATTATCTAACTCACCTAAATAATACAATCGAACATTCAATGACTTTATTATTAAATACCGCCCCCAAATGCCCTGGTACGGCAGAGAGTGGGGAAAGTCCGCTCTCCCTCTCCAAATACTCTCACATGGCCACGCGTATATAGCCTCTGCCAGGAAAGTCCTACTCACTGCCATCACGTGGCGGGTGTGTTCTTCACGAAAATGAGAGGACGAAAAGCGAATGTCCGGCGCTTTATCCGGATCCCAAACCAAGGGTGCACATGGGCTCCAGTATCCTGCGAGAACAAATGGCGTATGAACCAATCGTTGGTCACCGGTTACCATGAGACTGCATCTCCTCACGATGCTCCACTGCCTTGTGGATCAGATCTTCAGGTCAAAGGCTCGGGGTGTGGCCCCCTAAGAAAACCACCTGCTTCGGTTTGGGCACCCGGGTTGTATCACAGCCCTCACACATATCAAATGAGATCTGTGTGGCGCATATGTATTTGGTGCCTCCTTGTATCAATATCTATGTGTCCAAATAAATAAATTAATTAATAAATACCACAAGTAAAAGGTAGAAACAATAAACAACCAAATTATATTTACAATGAAATACTACATTTTGCCATAGGACAATGGAAATAAATAAAACTTACTGAAGGAACTTAGAATAAGCTCTATACAAAAACAAACAAACAACCAAACAATATATTACAAGTACTATTTACATATTCACATAAAATATTGGTTAGTTGGGCAGCGGAGTGAAGAAAAAATTCTATATTTGACCAGTATAAAATCAAAATCCATATTTAGCTCGATTTGACGCCTTATTACGTCTTGCTTCCGCCCAACGTTTTTCTAATTCCATTTCATTTTCTTGAGCCTATTTGAATAGAATTGTAAAGAAAGTAGGGAATTTTAAATTATAAAGTAGAATTTTAAAAAAGAAAAAAAAACAACGAAGCTTTCAAACGGCAATGTTTCTTTTAACTTCAATATATGTAACTTCTAATATATGTAGGCAATTGTAGGTCATTTAATGTCAATAACTTTTATGTTGTATTTATGCATTTGCACCCAAATGCGCCACGCGTGTATAGCCTTTGCAAGAGAAGTCCTACTCACTGACTTCTCTCACCACGGGTGTTGTTTACGAAAGTGAGGACGAAAAGCGACTGTCATGCGCTTTAGCCGGGTTGGTGGACACGGAAAATTTACCTAGGGGAGTTGGGAAACCTGATTCCAAATCAATGGTGAACATGGGCTCCAGTATCCAAAAGGAACAAATGGCATATGAACCAATCGTTGGACTGCATCTCCTGACGTTACTCTACTCACTGCCTTGTGGATCAGACCTTTAGGTCAAAGGCTCGGGGTGTGGTCCCCTAAGAAAAACACCTGCTTTGTTTAGGGCACCCGGGCAGTATCCCAGCCCTCACACAAATAAAATGATGTATGTGGCGCAAATCTGTCTGGTGCCTCCTAGTACCAATGTAATAAATGATAAAGACGGAAGATAAAGAAAGTTCACTCTTTTTTTTAAATGCTCCCATATAGCCACGCATTTATGGCCACCGTCTTCACGTGATGGTATTACTTAAGAAAGAAGATAGAAAGAGAACAGACAGTGTTTAAACCACGTTGGTGGATACGGAGAGTCTACCTAGGGGATTTGGAGAACTTTAATTCCATAACAATTGTGTATATGTGTTCTATGGTCCTGATGAAACCAGTGGCGTATGAACCCATTTTGGTCACTGGTGATCATGGTACTTTATCTTCTGACTTTGCTTCACTATTATATGGATTAGAGCTCGAGAAAAATCACCCTAAGAAAACCACGTGCCCCATCTTGGACTCCGGAGTAGTGCCCCAAGCCATAAACAAGTTTTGTTTTGTGCGATACATACTACTTTCGATGCCGTGTTTTAACAACATTTCTGATTGACACTGGATAAAGTGGGTTTAAAATTTCATGGGAAGCATAGTTCCTTCAAAGTATTCGTTGTTGATAAATGGCAACTAGCATGAATCCTAAGTTTATGGCATCTAGCCAATACACTCCAAACAATTCACAGTCTATGTCCAAACAAAAATAGTAATCAACAATTTCACCAAAATATATGACAAATAACCAAGTAACAACATACAAATTAATGCTGTTAAAAGAAAAAAGTCATACCTGATGAGCTAGCCATGTGATTTGATGCTTTCTATGTGCTAATTTGCCAGGATCATCATCTGTAGACTTTGGTCTATACTGTGAATCATCACTTGTAACAGATTTAATCAGTTCTAATTGAGCACCAGCTGTTAAATCAGATTGATTAATTGATATCACTTCTGTATTTGTTGATTGTAATAATTCATTCAGAGCAATATTGTTAGATTTTGTACCAGGCATAACAAGACGTGCACGTTTACGCTAAAATCAAAGTATAAAATCTATTACAATAAACTAATAATAATAATTAAGACAATGTTTATTTTTTATTTTATTTTAACACATAGATATTGGTACAAGGAGGCACCAAATACATATGCGCCACACAGATCTCATTTGATATGTGTGAGAGCTGTGATACAACCCGGGTGCCCAAACCGAAGCAGGTGGTTTTCTTAGAGGGCCACACCCCGAGCCTTCGACTTCAAAATCTGACCCACAAGGTAGTGGAGCATCGTAACGAGATGCAGTCCCATGGTAACCGGTGACCAACGATTGGTTCATACGCCATTTGTTTCCTCAGGATACTGAAGCCGATGTGCACCATTGATTTGGGATCCGGTTATAGCGCCGGACATTCGCTTTTCGTCCTCTCATTTTCGTGAAGAACACGCTCGCCACGAGAAGGCAGTGAGTAGGACTTTCCTGGCAGAGGCTATATACGCGTGGCCATGTGAGAGTATTTGGAGAGGGAGAGCGGACTTTCCCCACTCTCTGCCGTACCAGGGCGTTTGGGGGCTAGGACATAATGTAAATAATCCCAATTATCAGTTGGAATTGAATAACATTCAAATCTATACATTTCACATAGAAATCAAAAATGAATATGATATACCTGTCTTTACTCAGTAACTTTATCTGGTATGTTTATGTCTGTTACATAATGAAAGTGTTTGGAAATAACTAGTTCTTGTATAGAATAGATAGGATGTGGTAAGCAGTGAAGTGCAGGACGTATGTTACATACTGTATTGGACTCGTTAACCGGATATACCTGCATCCCAGAGTTGATGTTTGTTACAAGACTCGAACTAAGTACCTTTCGCTTCAAACGCTAACGCGCTCCTGGATTTAACTGTTAGCCGCATTCCATCTAATCTATATAAACTAGTGTCGTAGTCGCTAAATCGAAGCAATCCGAATATATACATATATCTTAATTAAGACTAATCAAACTTCAGTCAAAATATCAACAATGGGATAATCCAAACAATCACAAATTAAAACAACTAGTTCTGGCTTCCAATACCTCTTAATTATTGGATAATTGTTAACATGCATCCCAACAGTTCTCCAGAAGTACGACTGTTGTACTGAAATATGACTATTTTTTACAAATACACTAATATTAAGTTCTGAACTGTGTAATAACACTGTCTATACACTGTATATAGACACTGTATATATATAAACACTGTATATACACATGAATTTCTGCCTTAAATTTTGGGACACAAAGTAGCAGTCCTAAATTTTGCTCTGAAGCTCTAGTTTTTCAAACACTAATTCGCTTACTATGGGGCTGTTATCTGGAAATCCAGTTCCGGAGCCTATTCATTCCATTTAATTCGTCAAATGAATGCTTTTTTTTTACCAATTACACGTTTTATACACGGATTTCAGTTGCTGATTTTGTAAGAGCTAGTGACACCACTAGACTGTGCTAATCCAAAGTTGGAGTAGGGTTTGAATATGCGACCTTATGGTTAAAAGGATGCTTTAACCACTACTTCATACGCGCCAAGCAATTTTATATTTCACTTTTCGACGTTTGACGGACTAAAACAACAGATCATTTCAAGGTTCAAAGCAACCACAACAGGGAACGGAAACTACTTATAAAATAAATAGCAGTGTGTAAACAAGCATAAATATTTGCCCGGTATAATAAACAATGAGAGCCCTGTATCATAGTTGTCACACAATTCATATCAGTGAAATGAGAATGCAGTAACAGAAGGAAAGTTAAACAAAGTGGAAATTATAAGACTAATAACATTTTAAAAGTTTGCAAAATGGGAAAGAAAACAAGTGAAAACGTAAAATTAATGGCAAATGCTTAGAGTACAGCAACGAATTGATGTACTCCAGCTACTAAAATCCATTCAGAATGGAATCCCTGAAAATCTTGAAACGTCATTCAATGACCTATTTATTTATTTATTTGAACACATAAATATTGGTAGAAAGGGGCACCAGATATATATGCGCAACACAAAACAATGAGAATGGGGAGAGAAAAACAACGTAAGGTGCATATAAAAAAAAGAACAATAACGACCACAGATTAGTGTATGGTAGTGAAATAATAATAATAATAATAATAATAATAATAATAATAATAATAATAATAATAATAATAATAATGGGGGAAACGGAAAGGTACAACCAGAAAGAATTCTTTCAGTTAAGGAAGTTACAGTCACATTTTATGAAAGTAAAAGGTTACAGCAGGATCGCCACTGGTTTCTATTCTGAGCCATATCTGATAATGTCTCTAGCCACTGTGTTGCATCATCTCTGGGATCCCAGCCAGGGAGTTGAGAAGGACAAACAGAAGCCAGTCCTTTACCACGACACCAGGACCTATAGCCAAACGGCTTATGGTTTTTTTTCACATACCTAATGAACAAGTAATCCTATTCCAGTTAACATTAGTCACAAATAGAATTATGCCCCTGACAACGCAAATAATAAAAATTTACAATATTACCAAATACCCTTTTCTTTTGTACTTAAAACTATTCTAAATATAGTTACAGATGCAGAATGTGGGGAGCAAAACCTGACGAAAAATATAATACCACATACAACAGCTCTATTTGCATTGAGCCTACCACCTCAGCTACTCTAAACGACTGATTTTGTTACGAAGACTTCCTGGATGAGAACGACGAGGATTGAGTTTGCATTCAAATCAATTCAACTACATATCAATTCATAGATTATTAGTTACAAAGTCCTTTTAGTCGATTAATTTTTACTGGACAAAAAATCATAGTGAAATAACAAGGAAAATACATTGAGAATCAAATAACTAATTACAACTGATATTTAATAGATAGAATTCACGACAATATGTTGAAGCTAACTGGACGCGAATTGTTATATCCGACAAAAACGAAAGGAATGGTAACCGACAGGATTAATTTATGTATTATTACTGAATAAATATTAAGTAACTAGATTATATATAAATATATATTCATTTTATCATGAGCTTCCGTTTGACCCATTAACTACTATTATATGATTTACTATACTTAATCTGTTGCCAGCTTGTTATTTGCAGTCTTCCCTACCCACAGTCACTCTTTGGCTTGATCATATATAGTTTGTAATCTGTATATAAACTACGTATGTTCGGAACACAATATTTGTATAGTGCAGGTTAATTACTATATTCTGGGTTCAATAGCTGAGAGGGAGAAAAGCTACCGAATCAAGGACCAATAAGGACTTAACAAAGGGTCAAGGCTACTGGTGCTATCTGGAGTATTATTGGTCATCCTAAGAACAAAATCATATGGATCGATATTCTTATAGGTGGCTTTATTACGTGATCTTAGTAGGAGGACATAAGTCATAACAAAAATCACCTCAAACCGATATACGAATTGTAAGATTGAATTTCTCTCTTGTACTTTGTATTTTGGGGATATAGCAACTCTAACAAGTATATATTTCAAATACAAGTGAAATTGGTTGATATTCAGAAGTCACCTTATCAGTGCTTAAATGACCTTAACATGTTAATCGTGGATGCGAATTGCGTGGTAGTAGAAATACATTAAAATTTTTATTGGTGCAGATCGAATGCTATCGACCAAGTTGCAATGTGGAGAACTAATGATTTGTAGGAATCATATAGAAAAATCATTTTTAATTAGCTAGTGACGAATTCGGCAATATATTACACAAGATAACCGAATCGTTGACAGAAAATTTCTACTGGTCAGTCCATTAAATAATGCACTGATTTATCAATCTATATACTAAGTGATTTACTTAGCCATCAACTAATTGACTACCACACTTAACTAACACCTATTATTCTCGTTTTACTGCAACCCACAGATTGGATGAATTTAGATGCTCACAGATATCAGTGACCTTGATCACGATTAGAGTGCCGCCCACCGTTTATGTTCTATCTGGGTTTCGAATAAATGGTGAAGTTGTCGACGCGTTCGACTACTTCACTCCCTATCCTTAGTTCAGGTGTTGACGCAAGCCAGTCCTGAAGCAACAATTTACATTTAGAAGGGGAGAAACGCATCCCAAACATCGTGGTATTGTTGCTCAGTGTTACCAGAAGACTGCACTTTATCAGCGTCTTCACCAAAGAGGACTATGTCATCCGTGTATTATAAATCAGTAAGTGGACCCCCGATAATATCCTATTGGGAATGTATAAACACAAGTTTAACATAAATAACACAGATATATGGGATAGAAGTTTTAGTAACGCACATTGTTCATAAGTAGTGTTAAAGTGTAAGCAAAGATTTTGTGTAAATTATAAGGTTTGTAATTTTCAAAACGGATTGAACCCTTGACTCTAGAGTAATCTTATTCGCTCAATCGTAAAACAGACATATTTACAAAAAGACAGATGGTTTCGAAGATCGAATTAGATCAAATTATCACCTTGAATAGATTCGTTGATTGCACCTTTATACAAAACTTATGCCTTAATTAAGTTATTCAAATGAAACATCTATCTTCATAATGGCCTGTAGACTATGATAATTGTTCCAAAATTTGAAACAAAGCCAATAATGGTTAATATCAGCGAATTCGGAAAGTTAATATAATTATTATTAATTGGAAGATTAAAAGACCATTTAAAAAATTTAAAATACCTCTGGACCTGGAACGAAATTCTCTTCTGTCCAAAAGACCTTTTCTTCAACATCCTCTTTGTCATCTTCTTTTTCATGTTCAGCGATTTCTTTTTGAACAGAAGACATTTGACGTAGAATTTCCGGATCATTTATAGTAACCTTTGGTAAACACTCTTCCCATGATTTTGCAGTGAGTCGACTAGTAGTTGAGTTTTCATCATGTGACAATTTAACTGTTATGAATGAATTACTATCATCATTGTCTACAGTTGATGGTTTGCTAGACAACTCGGCTTTTTTTCGAGTTGCTTGTAGTGCCGATAGTGCGGCTGCTCTTTCTGAAGCGACAGCTTCATGATTATTAGGTGTAGGTTTGTAAAAGGAAAAGAAACTAGCTTCTTCAACATCTTCATCGGCTAACTCTAAAGTGTCTTTATCAGAATCTTGTTTACTGTCAGCATCCCAAACGTCATCGTCATCGTTGTTGTTCTGAGAGCTTGGTTTCTGTTCAACATTTTCAGGTTTGGTTTTCATAGTCAATGTCTCTTTAACAGTATGACTTGTATTTTTTTTAGATATTAGTTGATGTGGTATCATTGGTCTGTTCCCTTCTCGGACAATAAGTGCACGTGTTGGCGGAAGGACAGAAAGAAGGCTAACTTTATCTGTTCCAGGTTTAGAATTTCGATAGGACTGCAAATAGAATACAAACATAAATAACGCAGACATTTATAACTGTCAAAACCATGTGAAAATCCAATTGAAGAAGCAACGTCATGAAATTTAGTCTAATTTATACTAATAATAGCGATGTCAATGGGCTAGCTATTATCAAAAGTTTAATCGTGACAAATAATTGATGGAAGCTCGAATAATTTTAATATATTGTGAGTATTATGTGTAAATTCAAGTAATGTGTCACTTTGGTGTTAAAAGCACAGCTTATCGACAATGATTATCGATGTATAAATATTAATCTCAGGGTATCACCTCATTAATTAATGAAATAAGTTGACTCTTACAGGATATAAAGTTGTTTACTACAATAAGACAATTCTAAGCTTAGACCTGACAAGCTGCAACAAAACTTATTTATACATGTAAAATAAGCCATGATATAGTCTTTAAATCTATACGCTTCTTTTCTTTAATATATCGCTTTCTAATTATGTCCTGAACTACAATATGTTTGTGAAAAATAGGGATTGAAAATACGAGACATTCGTAGATCATAGGTAGTTGACCATGGATGTGTTCTTAACATGGCTCGTAAACATTGAAGTAATTGGGCGTCAAACGTTGATACCATGAACTAGGTAAATTAGCTAAACCACATGATAGGATCGCGAACTTTCATAAATTTGAGTAGTAAGGCGTACTAAAAATTCTATGGGTTTGGTGATAGTTATATTTTACCGGATGGGACAAGACTAGGATGGAAAAAATCAAGTTATTCATCCTATTATGGATATTAACCGATTTGTTGAACATATCTAAACAACTTTAGTATGTCTTTAGAAATCAGGAATATTAGGTAATATACTTTAGAGTATATTCATATAATTAATAAGAGTAGGATTAAGCAAATGACCCTTTCAATTAGTCATTTTTTAACCGTAACGTTTTTAAGGTCACGTAGTAGTGAGTGCAACATAAGTCGCAAGCGCTGGTGCCGTTGAAAACGCAACTTGAAACGAGTTAGATAGGTCTTCTCGTATCGAACAGAAAGCAAGTACAAGCACTGTTTGTAGACTTATAAACTAATTCTTCATTCTTCTAGGGGCATGAATAACACAAAGTACATAAGCTTACAGAAGACTATTTATTAAAATGCTATTGGTATAGTTGGGGTTTACCGAGGATTTTTATCAGAACTGGCTACATCACATGGTTTCTAAAATACATTCCCATGGTAGCCAATGACTGTCAATTGGGTCATACGCCATTTATTTGCTCATGATCCTGGAGCTCATGTGCACCATTACTTTAGAACCAGTTTTCCAACTCCTCTAGGTGGATGCTCCATATTCACAAACCCGCTTAAAGAACCGGACATTCGCTTTTCGTCCACTCAATTTCGTAAATAACGCCCCCACCGCGAGAAGGCAGTGAGTAGGACTTTCCTGGCAGTGGCTGTATACGCGTGGCCATATAAGAGCGTTTCGAGAGGGAGCTGACTCTCCTCACCGTCGGTCGTACCATGGCATTTGAGGGCGAAGGTAAATAAATAAAAAAGTGAACTATCTTACTAATGATCGCTTTAAGAACAAATATGTTAATGAAGAAGTATTACTATGGTTTCTTGCAATATGAAATATACACCTGATTTACTGAAGAGAATTAGTTTAACGGAATTTTTTAAGTAAGCAATGGAAGAGAACAGTTTTGAAAACATTGGTAAACACATGCAGTTCATAACTTAAGAATCAAAGCTAATGACTGAAAAAAAATTTTGTGGAGTTATATGAAAACTTAATTGCAAGAGACTTAAGAAAGCTAATACAGATAGGACAGCATAAAGTTGGGGTCTAAAAATATACAAGTTATGTTTAGATTGCAAAATAATGGGTTAAGATTTCAGAATAATGTACATCTCTCTTCTGAATTAGGATCATGTTGCCATTCTCAAGTGTATTTTCACTGCAAGATGAAGTCAGTAACCCACGTTTTTTAAAATACGTGACAGGTGGTATACTTTTCTCCATAGTTTTTACACCACGTATTAACAATTCAGATAATAACCTTCTTTAAGCCAACATTTTGTCAAGGATTTGTCAAGTTTTAATAGAGAATACCATAACGTTAAGCTAAGCCATAAGCACAATTCGTTAAATATTAGGACTAAGAGACCAAGCTTAAAAACAAACCTTACTTGTGTGGTGGGATTACGAACATCCGATGCGATCATTAACTTGTCTAATCACGTGGTTGTGATGTTTTATTTGAGAAACAACAACTCAAGGTAAAGTGATGAATTAGATGAATCGAAGGTGGGAACTTTTGAGCCCTATCTCAATTAGGTACTCATCTATAAAATAAACAACAATTAACCTGGGTTGTGTTGGGGAACAAAGATTTACCACATATAACGAAGTTTTGAAGCCATTAAGTAGATGCTCTGTTTCAATATGTCAGCGAATTTACTCTTTACTGAGACGTTCCATCAAAAGTCTACCTCTTGGGGAAAAGTAGACTTTATCTTAAAATTAACAAGATTTTCCCCATTATCCCTTCTGTTCTGGTTGCCTGGGTAAGACGTTGCTTAAATCACAATGAACTTTTTGTTTTACAACCTGACTATGAGGTGCTTGATCTCTGTGCTTCGTAAGATTCCCTAATGCCCCCAAATGCCCTGGTATGTTCGAGAGTGGGGAGAGTTCACTCTCCCTCTCGAAATACTCTCACATGGCCACGCGTATACAGTCTTTTCCAGGGAAGTCCAACTCACTGCCTTCACGTGGCGGGCGTGTTCTTCACGAAAATGAGAGGACGAAAAACGAATGTCCGGCGCTTTAACCGGACCCCAAATCAATGGTGTACATGGGCTCCAGTATCCTGCGAGAACAAATGGCGTATGAACCAATCGTTGGTCACCGGTTACCATGGGACTGCATCTCGTTACGATGCTCCACTACCTTGTGGGTCAGATCTTCAGGTCGAAGGCCCGGGGCGTTGCCCCCTGAGAAAACCACCCGGGCATTATCACAGCCCTCGCACATATCGATTGATATATGTGTGGCGCATATGTATTTGGTGCCTCCTTGTACCAATATCTATGTGTTAGGATTAATAAAATTAAATAAAAGATTCCCTAATAATAAATTAAGAAAACTATTACCTATTTTATCTGGCCAAGTATTCGACATGTCGAATGTTCGGCGGAAAAAACAAAGTTCTAGCGAAATTGTAACCAACATCCTTAGGTGAAACAAAATCACATAGATTCATTAAAACTGACACAAAGCAACATCTAGATGTTGCAGTCACGTGAGCTCATGTGACTACACAAAATAAATATAACACAACGGACGGCATCAAAATTCATTTGAAGGAAAACTGGCATGTAACATACGTACCTTGTTATTCTTGGCTGAACGACTGCTTTCATCGTCACTGTCATCTGACGAATCCAACTGCAAATAAATTAAAATTATACACGACATTATACAATAAATATGTACTTACCGCCTCCAAGTCGGGGACGGAAAGAAAAACTTTACCGTCTTTTGTTTTGACAATGGGAATGTTTGGGACAAGGTTAGGTAGCTTAGCACTTTTAGGGACTCTCATTTTAAACTCAGGTTCAACTCGGTCTTTCAATATGCTGCCAGCTGTTGTATTACTCTCACTGCTGACAACCAAATCTTCTTCATCATCTTGTTGATAAAAGCGTGACTTTTACACTAAACCTACCATTAGATTCCTCCCCCGAACTCCCATAGGACACCAAAGCCATCACACGGACCTGTGACGTAAATTTCAAAAATGACGGGAGTTCTTTATACCTAAAAATGACTCAAATGTTTGTGGCTGAAGCTTTAGCTTAATTGGATTCCGTATCCAGTAGCAGTGAGTCACCAATACCTAAAGGTACGAACCAATGTAAGGTTGGTGGTGAAAAAGAGAAACGTCTGGAAAGCAAGCATACCAGATATCATGCACTCGGCATCATTAGTAGATTGGACAATAGACACAGAGCCCTCAATTGAAACGGCTTGGGATGCATTCCGAAATTTATACTTAAAAGTTACCGCACCCCACCTTCCTTGGACTATACCAAGGGGGCCGAGAAACTCCCCACTATGGTTCAATAGGGAGGTCCGCATCCTTCTCCGTAAGAGAAAAATGTGGGATAGATTTAGGTTACTGGGGACTCATGAAACAAAATCTCAGTACCGAAAAGCTAGGAATACCTGTGCCTCGACCCTCCATAAGTCTAGAAAGCTGTACGAAGAAAAAATTGTTAAGGAATCCATAGAATGTCCTAAACGCCTGTATTCCTATATAAACCAAAGGACAAAAAGAAGAGGAATTATTCCTGCACTATGGGGAGACAGTACTGCCGCATCATTAGTGGAAGATGACTTTGGTAAGGCTGAAGTGTTCTCAAACTACTTTAGCAATGTATATACCATAGAAGCACCCTTCCCGTCAGCGCATACAAACCCCCCCACACATACACTGGATAGCGTGACCATAAATGAACTCGATGTCTTTGATCTGCTAAATAAGCTTGACATAGGTAAATCCATGGGGCCCGATGAATTGCATCCTAGGCTACTAAAGGAATTATCTAACTTCGTTGCGAACCCTTTAAGTATATGCTTTAAGCTATTCGTTACGCAGGGTCGTTTACCAAAAGACTGGCAAAAGCTTACTTGATTTTGATTTTCAGTACGAATACAGACCGTGAAAGCGTGGCCTATCGATCCTTTTGAACTGGCTTCCTATCATTGTGAAGCAGAATTCACCAAGCGTTGGATTGTTCACCCACTAATAGGGAACGTGAGCTGGGTTTAGACCGTCGTGAGACAGGTTAGTTTTACCCTACTAATGAGTACATCAGTGAAGTACAATCTGGCCGTTGCTATGGTAATCCTGTTTAGTACGAGAGGAACCGCAGGTTCAGATAATTGGTATATGTGCCTAGTCGAAAGGCCAATGGTGCGAAGCTACCATCTAGTAAGTCCTGTCTTCAAAACAGGTACGAAACATAAACCTGAGAATTACCGACCCGTTAGCCTAACTAATGTGGTTGTTAAAATCTTAGAAAAGATTATTCGGAAAGAGCTGTTTAAATACCTCGATGTAAACCGAATCCTCTCGGAGAAACAGCACCGTTTCAGAATAGGTTATTCTTGTCTCACTAACTTATTAGTCACTCGAGAAAGCTGGTGCGCTTTTAAGGACCAAAGGTTACCTGTAGACGTGGCTTACATTGATTTCAGAAAAGCTTTTGACAAGGTTCCGCACAACCGGCTGTTATATAAGCTAAAAAATGTCGGAATTGGAGGCAATCTATTGACGTGGATAGAAGACTTCCTTGTTGGGCGCCAACAAAGAGTACGGTTAAACTCAAAATTATCTAGCTGGGAAACTGTGCTTAGTGGAGTGCCCCAGGGTACAGTTTTGGGGCCAGTGCTATTCCTCTTGTATGTAAATGACCTTCCTCGCTTACTATCATCATCGGTCTTGCTATATGCTGACGATGTCAAGATATGGAGAACGATACGATGTAAGGGTGATAGCTTAGAACTCCAAAATGACCTGAAGAAATTATCCGAATGGTCTCATACATGGCAGCTGCCGATAAATACTTCCAAGTGTGTTGTGATGCATATCGGTCATCAAGGTTCAGATACATACACGATGAATAACACTGAGCTACCTGTTGTCCAGACACATAATGACTTAGGAGTCATCGTTAGTCAAGATCTGAAGACTACTGCACACTGCCGTGCAATAGCCGCCAAAGCTTTTAGAACTTTATGGTCAATACGCAGGGCTTTTACTCATGTCGACGCTCAAACGTTTTTGACTTTGTACACAGTGTTCGTACGTCCTAAACTTGAGTACTGCATACAAGCGGTTAGCCCCTGCTTAAAAAACGACAGTGAGCTTTTGGAAAAGGTCCAGAGAACAGCAACTAAGCTGATTCCTGTAATAGCGAAGCTTCCGTATGATGCTTGACTGGCCAAGCTAGACCTATTCCCTTTGTCATATCGTAGAACTAGAGGCGACTTGATTACAGTTTTCAAATTGCTTAGTGATAAATTTGCACCTGATATGCCCTCATTTTTCCTGTCTTCCAAAACAGAGAATTTACGAGGACACTCCAAAAAAGTTCACAAGCCCAGAACAAATTACTTGTCAGCTGATTATCGACTTTCCCACCAAATCATCAACGAGTGGAATTCATTACCTCAACACGTGGTTGAAGCTCCATCCGTAGATTCTTTCAAAAGAAAGTTGGATGAACTGAAAGAACACAATTGCCAGGACTAACACAGGCCATCAAGCCTCCTGTCCTTTCCAAACTGAAACTGATTAGCAAATTGTAGCGAAATATTGTCCTGAGTCTCCAATAATATGTCAAGCTTACTCCTGAAGGACATCCGGAAAGTCGACTTGACTGCCTCATCCGGCAGCAAATTCAAGAATTTGACTACGCATAAGTAGTAAAAGGTGTCTCTACACTCCATTTCGCTAAGTTAAGTCTTAAAATTTCTGAATGTTACCTCTAAGGTATGTGTTGGGACAGAGCTTAACGAAGTATTTAAGTGGGTGCTCATGAGTATTAAGGATGGTATCAGTCAATAAAAGGTCACAACTAAGACGCCTATACTCTAATGGGCAAAGATTCAGTGATTTGAGGCACTAGTCGTAAGGTTCAAATTCGAGTCTTCAAACTGATTCCTTTGCTTACCTCGATTCAGTGTATCTCATCCTTTATATGTGAGGAAGGGGACGCTTTACTTCCATTTTCTAAATGAGGTGTATATAAAACTGTAAACGATTAAGCGGAAAGTTCTCTTATCAAACTGACCGAAAATGCGCTTCGTCATTACTAGTGCAAGGTTTGCTTGAGAAGCATTTTTGTCGCAGCTAGCGTAAGACTTTAGACTTAAGGGTACCAGGACTCCTTGATCATTTTCAACTTAGGACACTTCTAGAGAGAAGTTGTACGTATAGTCTACGACGTGCCTCAGATAGATTACCTCACACTTTGAAATGTTAAAAGTAAGTCTGTCGTAATCTTTCCAACATTGAGGTCGGACCAAATCCTCCTTAAGTGCCAGGTTAGCACCTTAGTCGAAAACTTCTCTCTAAAGTTCCACGCCATCAGCAAAAGTAATATACCGGATCTTACTTCCTGAGGAAAGTCAGTTATATAAATTAAAAGGAGAAGAGATCCCAGTACTGAGTCCTGGGTAGCCCCACAAGACTGAAGCCGATTTTTTGAGTATAGCAGAATGAATCAAAAGTAATGTGTTTATTTAAATGCCGCAGTATCTGATACATTGGTTCAACGTATAGGGTCATTTTTCAGACTGGATTCAAGTTTCAGGCAAAGCTCTTATCGACGTAGTTTGCATGTAACTGTTGAAATGTCTGAAAATATTATACTCCCAGGAGCTTTCCGGCATCTCCGTCTTTGTGAGTTGGGCCATTAGAACCCAACAACTAGGAAACTCCGGCTCAGCATTTTTGAAGAGATGTTGAATGACGAGATAATCTTTTAGGGTTGGAGAAAAATTTATAGATTCACTTTATCTGGTACTGAAGTCTATCCTATTTTATCAGTTTTTAGCACTGATTCCTTGCTTGTTCGAACTTCATTTATGTGCCTTCTTCACTAATTCCTTTGTATTCTGCTCATAGTACGGGGGTAATAGGGGGTAAGTCAGGAATTAGAATATGCAGGAAACTACTACGTATATTAACAATATATCATATTCGTTAATCCATTGCTTCAGTTCATGAAGAATAGTCCTACACTACATTTAAGCCCTATTTTAATTAGCTCTTATAATAAGGTATTGATAAGCAATTATAGAAAGTGTGTATTCGTAGTACGGAAGGGTAGATCACGGTGGCGGTTTCTTTTTAGATCCTCATGGTAGTCCAGACATAATGCCATGTTTTTTAAGTGACCCAAGCCAAGTCGTAAGCTGTAAACTTTGATCACGTTGCTACTTGTTGATCTGTTGCAAAGAGCGAACAACTAAATACTAATCAGCTTACAGTTTAACCCCCTCATTCATAAAACCCTTATAGTGGAACCCTCACCGTTTTCTGACATTTAACCTTCTCTTTTTGTGGTAACGTGTATAGGTTTTAAGAGGCCATTTATACATTTGGAATGTCAATGATCATACTCAAATGTCTATCAATATACGCTTATGTCACTTCGCCTGAGTAGCCAATGCTAGTGTTTAAGGCATCTATTTGCAGATGGCACTGGTAAGACTTTTTCTAGATAATAAAGTGTTGATTACAATGGATGGAGTAGTCACTAAATCGTATTCTAAGAGTGAGGATGTTTATGATCTTGTTCTGGGTCATGAATCAATAAAGACAACTCAGGTAACCTTAAAATATGTTAATTAGGTGTAATTGACCATGATTTTTAGTTTCGAATATATTGGCTTGATCGTGCTCCCTAAAAGCTAGCTGAATAAAATTCTACGAGAACTTAAGCCTGGATCCCTTCTTTGGTACATCCTACAGCAGAAAAACAGGCATCTTGTACTGTGCTAAGCTGTGGCTAGGATATTGCTTACTGGCTCATTCGTGAGAGTACAAGTCGTATCGGCTTTGAGGATAAATTAATTTCATTTATTATCAGTGATTACGATTCAGATACAAGATCCATTTTAGTCTACAATGCTTCCTGATAGTCTGATGGCTTAACATGGTTAAGTCTCACAAATTTAGTACCGATGATAAAAGCTGGTATTTCAATGCTTTAATAGATTGTAGGGCCAGTAAAATTCCACTGAGCCCTAGTCATTGAATATCGAACAAACCATCAATCCTCGTCGAGGTCAAGGACAACAAACGCGCATCAGTTAATCGTACGCCATGGACTGGCCCATGCGGCAGTGGTCTTACCTTCGCTTGTATCTACTTTAACTAATATATTTCTGTAATAACGTCCTCTGTGTTGTACAGTCTTCAAAGCATCTATAGTACCTTGATACGTCAATGGGGTAATATATGTAAGGTGCAGACCGCGAAGTGTGACTTCGACGTTAGCTAGTTTGTCACACCACTCACGTCTAACTCGAGTAAGCCTCCAATCATTTTGACACAGATCATCCCCTCGGTGATCTACAAGATGCATAGTTTTTGTAGGTGACTAATGGACTTCTTAATGAGTGGCTGCGTTGATTTGGTTAAATTGCGAAAATAATGCCGTGGAAACCACTTGAAGTAGTTGGTGTTTATACCATATCACATATATAAGACAATACACCCCACTCATTAGACATTTGGTGTTATTTTCACCTATCTCTAGACATTTAGTTAACGAAACACTAATGGGCATTTTAACTTTCATATGCCTCCTGACATGAGCGACTTCCCTCTTTTGCATTGTATTTCATAACTCGTCGCACAAAAGGTTGATTCTATGGTGTACGAAAAATGCTAATAATGTAACATGGTGACTCTCCTGGTCCGACATCACCTCGACGATTGCTTAACAATAACGAGAAGCGTCCAGCTTTCACTACCAAAGTGGAACATCATGTCACTTCTAAGGACACGAACTGCGTCCCTCTTTGTTGGCTGACGACCATCATAACATATATGACAATCATAACCATACTAATATTGAAAATCTAAGCAATAAGTCTAGCTGTCTTGACCAAATGCTCTCTTCCTAGTTGCTTTAACTACAACGTGCAAATATTTATCTACTTGCAAACACCGGATTTGTAGAAAAGTCGCTTAGATCCACACAGGGTTGCATGCGACGGCGGTTGAATGCAACGTTCCATTTTTGAGCGTCTTTCAGGTTCTATTCTTGTGTGGCATATACTCCCTTATTTTTATTATTTTTCTCCTTCGAAATAAAAATCTTGTGTTCTTTCTTCTTCAGTTGTCTACCATTTAATCTAGTGAGAAACATGCACAGTAATGTCTTCGTCACCAGTAATTTCACCATAACCACAAGGAGGTAGAGGTTTTGATTTAGGGTTTGATGGTATGTCAAAAATCTCTATATATAACAAAAGGGTTATGAGAAATCTCGAAATGACACTAGATAGTAAGCCTCAGAATAATGTATACAACGTGAATCACTAGCCCCAAACGCCAAAACTAAGTATCCAGTTAAGTAATCAGTGTCACATTACTATCAAAATTTCTAATCCTGGTAAGATTGGCTATCAGAAAATAAATGATAGAAAAAGTCGTCACAAATTGTCAGTAGCGCAACCTGAGAGGCAGAAATGACACAATAACGATGATTGTGTTGCATGGTTGTAATTCGTTAAAGTCAGAGGTCAAGAATTCGAATGATATTTCTGCAGTGGTTGAATCCATTGTCTCTGTGATACTGCAGCACATACACAGTAAGTGTAACGACCGAACTACCAGTATTCGGGCTGAACGCAGGACTGACGAACCAAAACGCATTCGAATAGGTCAGACTACGATCTTCCGTATAGCTCGCCAGGCGTTTTTGAGACACTCGTATTAAATTATATCAAAACACAAGCTCTGTGCTCAATTTATACGGTTCTAATTTAAGAAATAGAACAAATTATTTCAAAAATACAAAATACCTCAAACGGTACAGCCTGTGCTCTACAGTCAGAAGTCTCTCTAACGCAAAGTATTGCGTTAAACAATAAAATAAACAGTCAATACCAAAGGATTTGATACACAACAAACGGGATCAAATATCTACCTGCAGGGATTTCAGAAATTCTCACAAGCAGACAGTCAAAAGGTTAACAGTCACACTGAATCACGCCGTGACCTTGAGCTTAGTCAAACACTACTTCACTGTCAATAGTCCGGCAACATGCAATAAAAAATTAGGCAGCAAAAAGATAAGTTTTGAATCAAAATCACATAATAAAAGCTCAAACGAGATCTGGACAAAGGTTAAAATATATGACAGGGAGAAGAAACAAATAAATGAAAATACTGTCCAAAAAAAATGCTGTGGAGGGATTTTCATCGTTCTCTTTCCGTTACAGTAAGGACTTCATGTTGAGTAACACCTGCTCATGGCTCTGATACATGTGCACACAGCTTTACAAAAATATACCGATAGAACTAAAAAATGAAGCGTAAGACCCCGTTGAAAATAATCGTGTGAAGCTCTATTGGTATACCCACTTTGTTCAACACAGGCCCAACCATACACGCAACCATAAAAGGCACAATTTAAAGTCGTACACCAAAGAAATTGCCCACTGCTTTAAATACCCCAGTATCTGTTAAAAGTACGGCGCAGTGTGTGGCCATCGTAGGTCAGCCTTTCAAAAAGAACATTGGGGCAGGTACTGTACAATGATGAGAGTCGTACTACATCAGTAAAACTGTGGTTTCTTAATAGAGACCACATTTTAGAGAAAAGTAAGCCTACCCCATTCAGAGTAACTCTAAATTCAGCAAACTTCACAGAATAAATTGTAGAGGCATATCAGAAACCATCGATAAAACAGTCTCCTCAAATCCGGGCTGCACACAAGAGTTGTATCGTAAGAGATACCTATAGGTCAGCAAACACCCATGAACTAACGGGGATGGTGGTGGACGGAGTTGATAGATGGTCGTCGGAATGGGGCTCACGAACACCATGTCACATAGTGGCTGTGAATTCGAAAAAAACGAGGAGGATCTAACTGAGGCCCTTCAGATCTGATACAGCCGGAAGAATGTTGGATAATACCGATTCAGGTAATATTCTTTAACTTTGCAATAGCTCCAGACATAGTATCGCAAGCACTCCTCATACAGAAGGTTTGAAAGATGAGTTTCATTGACTCACTCCCTTCTTGCCTACAAAACTACCTGGAGAATAGGATTTTCCATACGAAGGTAAATAGAGTGTACGCGAGCTAGATAATCTTGATATTAGAATTTTCACAGAGGACCATCTTAGGTTCGCTCCTCTTCCTGAACCTTACCAACAACCTTCTAGATAGATGTAGCTCGGAAGCACCAGTCTACACAAATGATGCGAAGATTTGGAGGTCCTTGAAGACACAAAAAACCTGGAGTTGTTTCTAACTCCTCTTAAAACGTGGACAGTGCCTTATCTTGAAGTCTGTAATGTTCTCACGTCCTCTTTCTTTAGAAGAGGCATAAATCTCTTAGACCTATTATTGAGACGACCAGCTAGGTGGCTGATTAGTCTAAAACATAAATCATACAAAGACAGACTCCAACACTTGGGATTATTCTCGCTTAGCTACCCAAAAATAATGGGTAATGCGACGTAGTAAGTGCATCAAATCACCACAACATGTGAATCCTATCCTAACTTCACCCCCACACTCCTCGAAGCAACATACCAAAAAGAATAAAACGCCGGTGTTTCCCTACATTTTCTCATTAAGTTTCCCCTACTCGGGATAACTTCAAGAGCAAGCCTGACAAACACATGCTCATCAATTGATTACAATCTCCTGTTTCGACCAGCTGTGCCTGATGCAGGTTTTGCAACATACCCAACATTATCATCATCATATATCAGTAAGATGTGCGACAGAAGTTAATCTTCTGGTAGTGTTGTTGTTTTATTTTAGATATCAGAGAAGCGAATGTGGAAAACCTGACCCTAGACCAAAATGGTTAATTACTAATTTCATTTTGTTATCTTACTGTCATTAAGTTATTGATCAAAGGTAGCGAACAGAATTTCATTAATTTTATTCATTCAAACTAACTGAATTAATCAATAATCCCATTAAATAATACAATTCTTTTCATAAACAAGTCCCCAACAACAACTCCATAACTGACTTGTCATAAGAAAGATAATTTAAACAATCATTTATTACAAAACACTAGGTATATGTATTTATTAATAAAAACAATATTACTGATATTATCAATAATAGTAGTATTATTATTAGTAGTAGTAGTATAGACTAATAAATTAAAGAGGTGAAATAAATGGTATACTATAGTTTTCTAATACCAGTTTTATTAAAAAGTTTTTCTTCTCAAATCAGTCAATTGTTCGTTAAGAAAAAAAAACAAAAACAAAAAGGATCGAACAGAAAATTGACTAACTGACTGAATAATAATCACAGGTTTAATTCATTGAGCCTATAAAACAATATTCTTTCTTTTAACTCCCCCTTCCTCGGTTCCCCGTCTCTCCCTCTCTCTCGTTCTCTCAAATACACCAATAAAAAAAACAATTCAATAAACTATTCAACATTCAATCTGTAAAATTTAAAATTACACTTTAACAAGGTAATTAACAAGAGAAAAAAAAATTATTTTTCTTTCTTGTTTTACTTTTCGAATCAGATAATTTTGTTTTGTTTTAAAAAAGAAAACAACTACAACAACAACAGCAATAGCAACCAAAAAAGAAGAAACAAAAGAGTAAACTTAACATAGAAAATTCCCTGAGACGAATATGCTGCCCCCTTTGAACATGTATTACATAATTGAAAAATTCAATAATCAATAATTTTTTTTCTTTTTGTCAATAGTGAATATTAAATAAAACTCTGAATTCTATTTTTTTTTCTTTTTTTCTCTTTAAAGAAAAAAAATTGTGAAAAGACTTAACACCGAAATCAAAATTGATTTTGGTTTATCACACACATTCATTCATTAGAGTATTTGATATATAGAAGATTAAATGGATAAAGAAATAAATAGTGGAAATAAAGTGCGACGGAAGGGGGGTTCTAATTTTTCTCTTTTTTTCTTTTTCCTTTTCTTTTTTTGTTCTTCTTCATCTTCTTTGAATGTATGTAAAAAGTTTTGTTGATGTGTAGTTTCCAAGATAAATTTTTTTGGTTGATAAGGTCAAAAAGTTAATAATAAAGTTTTTACTGGGTTTATGTCATGACAGTTTTTTTTTCTTAGTAAATACATTTGACAACCGTATTGAATGTTTTAAGAGGATAAGAATTAGTTCCTTTTGATGATAAGTATTTACTTTTACACAATATACATTTCATGAATAGAATGTTAAAAACAGGATTAGAAATATAAAGCATGAGTTAATGCAATACATCACAAATGCATAATAGATTTCATCTCTTCAATATCGTTTATTCTACAGTGTTTATTACTTCATCAGCTAAGAATAATTCATGAAAATACCATGGTAACTGATTATTATTATTAGTAGTATTAGTAGTAGTACCAGAAGTTTGTGAACATAAATCTTGTGCACACATTGTAACTGAACGTAATTCAGTTAATGTCATAATAATTCTTGGCCAACATTGTGAACTAGGTATTGGATAAGTATTGGATTGTTTTATTTGACCACGTGTACGATTCACATAACGATTAAATGTTTCTAATAGATTATTTTGATTATTCTCTATAGTTTCTACATCCAATAAATCATTTCGATCTAATTGTTATAGAAAAATATCAAGGAAAAAAAGATATTCGATTTAATTGATAATGAGAAAAATAAAATGAAGTGTACAGATACCGAGTAACAATAAGTATATTAAAAAATGGCTATGGGAAACCTAACCAAGATATAGCATTGGTATATGAACTATCAGCAACAGCCTACTATGGAAGTGAACAAACTGGATTCCAGCGGAGGACAGAAATCAGGAAGAAGCGTCGGACGTGGACAGGACACATAGTGAAGAAAGCACCCAAATGCGTTACAAGGCAAGCCCTCACATGAACTCTTCAAGGCCAAAGGAAAAAAAAGAGGATCAAAGAACAAGGACTGGATAGAACAGGAAAGGAAGGTCGAGGACAGAGTGGATTGGAGAATGCTAGCTGGTGGCCTATACTCCATTGGGAGCAACAGGCTTAAGTAAGTAAGTAATACGAAATCAATGATTATTGATCTGGACCACGTAGGTAGATGTATATAACCTGGTGGCTGAAGGGATTGAACAAAGTGGCTTAGAATGGATGACAACAATGCAGATACATTTATTCTTTATCCTACTTATTACCCTGAGTCGCATTATTCCTTCATACGTATCTTCTTTTCATTCCGTCTTTTAAAACAGTGTTCTCAATGTATAGTATTTTTTAGAATGATAACTACTGTACTGTTCCACTTCCTCTGTTACTCACATATTTAAGCTCATCTCGCAGCGTTAACGTTGTACATCAGTTTGTGCTAACATCCATTTGTGAAAAGCCCAGCTTTGAACAACAAGGACTGGCTGACAGATAAGATTTTAGCCAGCTGGGATGAACTTGCCATTATATAATTAATTTACATTATCTTAATTCAATTCTTATTCTTACTCTATTCAAAACTAATCAAAGATGTGTTTGGTGTGATAGACTAGTGATTAAATCAATAACCATTGAATAAAAACATTGACAGATATTCGTTTTACACTACCTGCCTTGATAAGTGAAATACATTACTAAGTCTGGATGAATCATATGGTGTTCCAAGACCACATGGAAGAGGACGGATAACTAATATGAGTAAGTGAATGTACAGCTAACAAAAGACAATAATAATAATAATCCATTCACAATTAGTCAAAATTTATGTTGGAATCCCAGTGTTTTGTGTGATAGTGTAAACTAAATGTTTTTAGCCTCATCGTTACTGCATATGTTAATTTTTATCTCATATGGATTGATTGCTTAGTGATTATCGAGGTTCGAGTTTCCAATATTAACTCCGAAGTTCGAAACCTGTCCCACCTATCTCAGTTTGAATAGCTGGGTAATATTGTGGTACATGCCACTTATATCTGAAGACATAAGTAGTATGCAACACCAATCGGAAGTGAAAAAATATGGGAGCGGAAAGCTAAGAAGATTATGAGGAGGGAAAGGAATTGTGAACTGGAAGAATCATACAGAATGGAAAGGACAAATGATGCAATTTTACAAGTGAAGTATTCAGTGTGTAGTTCTCATATTTTACCAAGACATTATGTAATTTTGTATCAAAACACAACCGGTTGTTCTCGTTCATAACAATGTCACTGTAATGTTGTGAATTGAAAAATTTAAGACTATAAATTATACTACTAATAATTTGAGAAAGTAGAAAAATGACTACTTGAAATAAAAACCAATATGTATATGTATAACTTGCACAATTTTTAATATACCGCTTCAACAGAAAATATAAACATGACATTATTAAGCAAAGATAGATAGTGGCTAGCAATGCAATCCAGTTTCGTCCTATTTGGGACTCGTCGGGTGGATGTACCTGGATCTCATAGTTGATGTTCACTCTGCGACTCGAATCCAGTACTGTTCGCTTCAAATGCCATCGCGTTGTCTACTCAGCTACTGAGTCCTGATAGCCACTTCCTTTTCGAGTCCCAGAGTGCACATCAACTCTGAAATGCAGGTACATCCTTCTGACGAGTACCAAATAGGACGAAACGCGCGTCAGACTGGATTCCACTGCTAGCCACTATCCATCTTTGCTTATAAAGCTTTTGTATCAAGGCAATATCGAGGCATACACACAGTATGCACATATGCCAAATAACGGACTGATCAATTGCAGTCTTAAACTTCATTGGGAAGATTCAAGCAAAACAATACTAGGGTCATTGTTAATTTTAAAAGCGAATTCCCCCTCTGTCAAGTTGATTCCACTATGCACAATAATATGCTAAGTGATATAAACGATATTAGATAAGTAACCGTCACATGTTACTTACAAGTGGATATAACAATTTACATGCAAAATGTGAAAGGATATACATTGAAAAGACAAAAAGATGAAATTATAATCAGAAGGGTTTTTGTGGATATTATAGTAATTCCAACGGTTGAGATCATGAATCAGTTGAAGCTAGATCACCATAGAAAACCTGGAAGCACTGCATGGTCGTTTCGTCCTATTGTGGGACTTCTCGGCAGTGTGTATCCACGATCCCGATTCGCGAGATCGGAACCCAGGGCCGTCGGTCTCGTGCAGTAACGATTAACCTCTAGACCACTGAGCCGGCCGGCATCCAACGGTGTTAATGTCTAACTCCAACCAATCCACGAAGTTGCGCCACTGTCCACCATTAACATCAGTGAGTTACTATCTCACAACAGACGCAGCTGAACTCCACTGGTTTTCAAAGTTTTAATATTCATCTTGCAAAACACTTATACCTTTGAAGTAAAAGTTGTTTATGAAGTTCAGTAGTAAACTACTTGTTAAACATGGGACACAATATGAATTTAAAGAATTTATTCAAAGCTATTAATAAACAATCCAAATTCCAAATTATCAAAATTCATAGAAACTATAGCAACTAGAAGGCTTAAACTTGACCTTTGAGTTAATAGTTAACCTTCAAATGCCTTGGTAACATCTTGACCTCTTTTTTTGTTCAGCTAAACGTAATCATAATTTAGTGATTTGACCTAATACGTCCGAAATTTTGTTCTATTCACCAATAAAGCATTCTAGAACTATCACCTTAACTAACTATTTAAGGACCTGTCTTTCTTCAAATTCTAATTGTTATTTCACACTGCATACAATTTATTTACTATTTTGATTGAAATCATAAACCGATTGATGTTAGACCACCATGTCTAACAAAGTTGGATACCTGCTGAGCAGTGGTCTAGAGGTTAATCGTTTGCGCACGAAGCCAATGGCCCTGGGTCCGAATCCTGGGAGGCGGGATCATGAATGCGAAATGCTGAGGAGTCCCACGACGACCATCCAATGCTTTCAGGTTTTTAATGGTGATCTAGTTTCAATCAACCTATCATCTCAACTATTGAAATTATTATAATATCCACAAAAACCCCTCCTGAGATCATTTATTGTTCATTAGATCAATCAATATTTTATTTATTTATTTATTATAACACATACATATTGGGACAAGGAGGCACCAAATACATATGCGCTACACATCTCATTTGATATGTGTGACGGCTGTGATACTGCCCGGATGCCCAGACCGAAGCAGGTGGTTTTCTTAGGGGCCACACCCCGAGCCTTCGACCTGAACGTCTGACCCACAAGGCAGTGGAGCATCGTAAGGAGATGCAGTCCCATGGTAACCGGTGACCAACGATTGGTTCATACGCCATTTGCTCCTTCAGGATACTGGAGCCCATGTACACCATTGGTTTGGGATCCGGTTATAGCGCCAGACATTCGCTTTTCGTCCTCTCATTTTCGTAAACAACACCCCCTCCACGAGAAGGTGTGAGAAGGCAGTGAGTAGAACTTCCCTGGCAGAGGCTATATACGCATGGCTATGTGAGAGCATTTCGAAAGGGAGAGTGGACTCTCCCCACTCTCGACCGTACCAGGGCAATCAATATAATTGATTATTCTAAGAAATTATTATCTCTATCGAACAAAACAATCCTAAACTGATACAAACATTCGATAATAATATAAAATTAACCAATGACTATATGATTTTCAAACATTGAACTCAATAATAACTTAATATTGATATAAAAAAAGAAAAAAGAATGTCCTTAAATTGACCTTATTTTCTTTTTATAGCTAAACATGAAATTGACAGAATGAAAGAAAGACAATCTAACTACATCATTTTCAATGATCTAAATACAAATTATTCATGTAAATTTTGATTAATTACAAAAATAAAATAGTTTACTTACCAGGAGACATTAATAATATAGCTGCCATCATGGCTACATCAGTTTGATCAATGTTTAAACGTGCCATTTTTAATGCTATACCACGAATTAATTGTGCAAATTTCTCATCAGATATACCAAGTTTTGGATAATGATGATTAGGTATATGTGGTATGGTTGTATTATATTGATTAGATAAATTTGATGATGATGATGTTGTTGTTGTTGTTGGTGGTGGTGGTGTTGGTGTTGATGTTGGTGTTGTTGTTGTTGTTGTTGTTGTTGTTATGGAACCTCGAATCAACAATGAATTATCAACTAATCCTTGAACTTTAGCTGATTTACTAATATAATAAGCTGCTCTTAAAGTGATCAAATCAATACAACAACCACATAATAAACGAATTTGATCATCTGTTTCAAGCTTTTATTAATAAGTAAATAAAAGGAAAGGTTTTAATTTTTTTTTAGTAATTTGACTTATTACTGAAAATCATTTTATTGTAAGTAGTAAAAAAATTGAGAGTGAAAAAAATTGTTTATCTCAAATTTCGTTAAGTAGTTAGTGGTAAATAATTCCTTAAAATGGATAGGTCATTATGTGAACAATACAAGATGTCAGTATCGTTAGTTTTCATGGACTATATTAGACAGGACTAGATAGTCATTAAATGAATATCATACTAGTATCCGATCGTATAGGTCGTGTCATTAATATACATCCACACTTACTTACTTCCTCCTATTCCTCTTTCTTCTGGTGGTCGACTGGATTATGAAGACCTTGACATCTGAGTGAAAACGCGGCATACAATGGACAGCTCAGAACCAATTAGACGATTATGACTTCGTAGATGACCTAGCCCTCCTATCCAATACACACCAACAAATGCAGACAAAGGCAGCCAGTGTAGCAGCAGTCTCTGCATCAATAGGCCTCAACATACACAAACGGAAAACCAAGGTCCTCAAATACAATACGGAGAACAGCAATCCAATCACTCTTGATGGCGAAACTCTGGAAGATGTGGAATCCTTCACATACCTGGGAAGCATCATCGATGGACAAGGAGGTTCAGATGCAGACGTAAAAGCAAGGATTGACAAAGCAAGGAAAGCATTCTTTCAATTAAAGAACATATGGAACTCAAAACAAGTTTCAACCAATATCAAAGTCAGAATCTTCAATACGAACGTCAAGGCAGTTCTATTGTACGGAGCAGAAATGTGGAGAACTACAACAACCACCATCAAGATGGTACAAGTATTTATCAATAGCTGTCTACGCAAGATACTCAACATCCATTGGCCGAATACCGTCAGCAACAGCCTTTTGTGGGTGAGAACAAACCAACTTCCAGCTGAAGAGGAAGTTAGGAAAAGATAATGAAAGTGGATAGGACATACATTGAGGAAATCATCAAACTGCACCACGAGACAAGCGCTAGCTTGGAATCCTGAAGAGAAGCGGAAAAGAGAAAGGCCAAAGAACACATTACGTTGGGAAATAGAAGCAGATATGAAAGGGACGAATAAGAACTGGAAAGGATTGCCCAGGACATATGCATATGGCGTCCCATCTGAACGGAAAACATGTTTAAATAAGATGATGGTTGAAGGTAGTCAACAGGAAACTTAAACCTAGGTTTCGTTTTACTTGGTATCCGTCAACAAGGTGTACTTGTAATCTTGAGAGAACTGGTGCTCCCTGGCGGATTCGATCTTTTGTCACCCACCTTCACAGTCAGAGACGTTACCACTGACCTATCCGGTCCGCGACCGATTAGGCATTAACTCTTTTGTTAAGCATTTAGATGTGAGCCAAACTTGAAATGAGAGGGATAATGATACTACCCAGTTGCCCAAATCCGAATAGTGTTAACTACGAGCCTGATAATTAATAGATTAGATATTCAGAGTTGGGCTAATATTACAAATTAACGTTAAGAGTGAGAGAGTTAGGAGGGTCACAATACTTTTATCTTCACAAACACTTTCGAGTATGTACTGAATTATATAAAGTGTTTTAAGAAACAATCCGTGTCACTACTAGATGCTCCGTGTAATTTAACTGACACACTATGTTACACTCGCTTTATGGTTGTATATAAATATTTTCTTCCCGACCGTTATTGCTACATTGACGTGGTGGTCGAGCTTGCCTATCGTGATGAACCAATCGAGCTATACTGTCTGGAACAACCGTTCCTCAAGGTTCTACCATGCCAGGCAGGTCGATTGGAGAACGGTAAGACTAAATGCGACAAACCCAAGGTTCGAAGGCGAAGTCATACGGCTGACTGTACAGAAGTGTAACAGTAGTAAGGTGTTTCCTTCAGACAATCAGAATGACGGCAATGCTGCCCTCCCACAAGGAGGGGTGTGGTTATTATTTATTTATTTATTTTAACACATAGATATTGGTACAAGGAGGCACCAAATACATATGCGCCACACAAATCTCAGTTGATTTGTGTGAGGGCTGTGATACTGCCCGGGTGCCCAAACCGAAGCAGGTGGTTTTCTTAGGGGGCCACACCCCGAACCTTCGACCTGAACGTCCGACCCACAAGGCAGTGGAGCATCGTAAGGAAATGCAGTCCCATGGTAGCCGGTGACCAACGATTGGTTCATACGCCATTTGTTCCCTCAGGATACTGGAGCCCATGTGCACCATTGGTTTGTGATCCGGTTAAAGCGCCGGACATTCGCTTTTCGTCCTCTGATTTTCGTAAACAACACCCCCTCCACGAGAAGGTGTGAGAAGGCAGTGAGTAGGACTTCCCTGGCAGGGGCTATATACGCGTGGCCATGTGAGAGCATTTCGAGAGGGAGAGTGGACTCTCCCCACTCTCGGCCGTACCAGGGCATTTGGGGGCAGGGGTGTGGTTAGAAAAGGTCGACCCTAAAAATGTACACCTCGCCTTGTTCCACGGATATCCGTCTCCGGCGGAAAGGTCTCAACATGTACGGAGCTAACACGAAAATTACTCATAAAAAAGGTCGTGTGTGACCGACCTCAAGCAGCTGTCCCTTGAGCACTGCGGTCACGCTTTTAGGTCACTGTGACCACCTCTAATCTAATTTCCTTTCCGAGTACCTCCAGCAGAACCCTTCCACGGTGCGGGCAACCGGGAAGTGATAACCGCCCTCATACCTCTAACAGCACTCAAGACTGACTGACTGACTGAAAGATTTTCTTATTAATTTTAAGCATTTTGTGAACTAGATATTTGGTTCTTAATGCAAAATATTTTATCCTTCAAAGAGTTTTGAATTTCCCGAGAAAAAATACGGGAGGAGCCAACTTAAGTCTGATTGGTTCATTCATTTTTTTCCCAATTAGGGTATTGAGTTCAAATTTTCTGTTATGATAACAGTAAACAAATATCAATAAGTGAAAATTCTAAGCATAATTCGACATAAAGTTAATAATGAATTAGACAAAAAAGTTGGATATCTTACTTGTTTGGTCTTTCCCTAATTATCTATGTAACATAATCCGTAAACTGAGACATAAGACATTCAGTTTAAATATACTTATTTATTTATTTAGTTAAACATATAAATATTGGTACAAGAAGGCATCGAATAGATATGCACCATATAAATCATTCGTCTGTGATACTGCTCGGGTGCCCAAACCGAAGCAGGTGGTATCCTTAGGAGGTCACACACGGAGCCTTCGACCTAAAGGTCTGATTCACAAGGCAGTGGAGCATCGTAAGGAGATGCAGTCCCATTGTAACCGGTGATCAACGATTGGTTCCTTCAGGATACTGGAGCCCATGTGCACCATTGGTTTGTAATGAGGGTTTCCCAACTGCCCCAGGGTGGACTGTATGTGTCCACCAACCCGGTTAAAGAGCCGGATATTCGCCTTTCGCCTTCATGATTTCGTAAACAACAGTAATGCTACAATAAGGCAGTGAGTAGTACTTCCCTGTAAGGGTTGTATGCACGTGGCCATATGAGAGCATTTATAGAGGAAGAGATCTGACTCTTCCCAATCTCAGCGGTACCAGAGCGTTTTAATATACAAAAAAAAACTGAAACTAGGATAGAAATATTTCTAGTCACTTCTAGTTCGTAGTCAACTACAATGTTATGATTATATTACAAAAGTATTTGGAAAATAAAGGAATTTAATCTTGGAATGTCATCCATATTGAACAACGGTTTCAATATAGAATATCCAATAGTAGAAGTAGATACTTTATTGAATCGAACTAATGAATATTTTGAAATTGCTTAGAATATGTTTGTTTGATCATTTTCACAATAAAACTCAATTTTCAAATTGTGCTTCCGATGTCATTACAATGAAACCAGTATAATATTAAGGGTTAGCATTTACTAGTTAACTAAACCATTTCACAAATTATTAATTTGATAAATAACTAATTCATCTATATCTTCATTGTTTATTCCTTAAAATGACAGATTCTCAGTCAGTTACAATGTAGGACCAGGTACATATATATATCGGTCCAAGTTACCATACCTCATTAGCACAACAAGATGAACACCAAATATATAGAAGTAGTTACTTCAGTGAAAGTAATGTATAAAAGGAAAGATTGCATATAAGGATATAGTACAGGAAGAAAGATTTATTTCGTAGAAAGAAAGTAATTCTAATCTCACAATTTTGGGGAAAACAGAGTGTATACACCTACACCATTGTGATCGATTCTGAGCCATATCACACAGAGTCTCCAACCATTGGTTAAGATAGTCACGCGGACACCAACCAAGTAGTTTAGATCTACTAACATGGCTAAGACTGGAAGTTAATAACTTCAATGACTGATGCCACGTTTTGGTTTGGCCACCTCTGACTTTCTTCCATCTGTCTACAACACTAGCCAACATTGTGCACCATGGTAACCGGTGGTTGCACATGCGTAATACGTGGCCCAACCATCTCAGTCGATGAAGATGCACAACGTCATTAACTGACTTATCATCATCCCCTAATACCCTGCGTCTAACCTCACTATTACTTATACGATGATCCCAGCAGACCCAAGTAATATCTATAAGACATCTGTGACCAAATACTAATAACTTACGAGTATCTTCTACTCCTGATTGTCACGCTTCACAGCCGTAAAATAGAACAGAACGAACTGCTACACAGTATACTCGTCCTTAGTTGATAGACGGATATCACACCTTCGTCATAGGTGACGTAAGTTGGCAAAAGCCAAACGAGCCTTTTCAATCCGTGCTGAGATTTCGTCAGACAGCAACCCATTAGGGCTGACCAGACTTGCAAGATAAGTGAAGTTGTCGATGTGTTTGACTACTTCACTCCTTATCCTTAGTTCAGGTGTTGACGCAGGCCAGTCGTGAAGCAACAATTTACATTCTAAACATCGTGGTGTTGTTTCTCAGTTCTACCGAAAGTCTCTGAACCTCATCAACGTCTTCCCCATATATGACTATGTCATCCATGTATTGTAAGACGATGAGTGGACCTCCTAGAAATAGATCAATGCCCGAGAATTCAGTCAACGAAAACGTTACATCCAGCAGTTGGTCTATGATGAAATTAAACAAAAATGGAGATAGTGGACAACCTTGACAGACAGCACTTGAGGTTTCAAAATTAGATGACAGTTCACCATAAGCTCTAACTCGACTGATAGTGTACGAGTAAAGAAACTAGGTGATACTAGTTTATATTCCGTCGGTAGCATCGATTGCTTTAAGATTACAGATATTTCTTACTGATGAGTATCAATTAACAGAAAGCCTAGGTTTACAGCTTCCTTTCAACTATCTTCAGTCATCTAATGTTTTAATGAACTCAACTTTAAAAATCTATAAATTGAGATACCAAGGCGAATTCATTTTTCCTGTAAATTGGTGTAACATTTTAGAGTATTACTTGTATTCTTAATGAGCCATCTTGACATTGGTTTTATTCTCAGTGTAAAATTTTAATCAGTATAATATTGAGGGTGGCATATGTATCAATTATTGGTCACCGGCTACCATGGGACTGCATCTCCTGACCTTGTTCCATTGCCTTGTGGATCAGACCTTTAGGTCAAAGGCTTGAGGTGTTTCACTCTGGACACCACAGCAGTATCACAGCCCACAAACAAATGAAGTGACTTATGTGGCATATATGTATTCCATGCCCCCTTTGTACCAATATTTATATGTTCAAATAAATAAAATAAAAAGTGTAAAATTGGTATATAAATGAGTGTATTTGGTTTAGTGATGAAGTGATTTTAGACTTATTTTGGGGATGTATTTTTGAAGAGTCAATAAATATTGATTTGTACCAGTATGTATGTTTTCACTTCACGACGTGGGAATTTTAAGGGTTCCTATCTCCAAGTATAAAAAGTAGGATCATGAATACAACATAGACGATACATACATAACGGAGCCAATACATCAGACATAAGACCTTTGCAATGCTTTCAAATATGATTCTATAAGGTTCAACATTCAAGCAAATTTCTTCCGATAATCAATTAAAACTTACTGTATCAAATCCTTGAATTTGTTTAGCAAATTTCACTAAACGTGTTATTGCTGGTTCAATAAAATAAGCTAAGTCATGAAATGTTGTCATATAGAATGATCTAGCATGCTGAATATCTTCTTGTTCAACTTCATCTAACTAAAACAATAAAGATAGTTAAGAATTATATAGTAATAATAAAAGGATATTGAAAATTGAAATAATTAAAATAACTATATGCAAAGATGGATAGTGGCTGGCAGTGGAATGCACGACACGTGTCTTGTCCCATTTGAGACTCGACAGCTGGATGTACCTGCGTATTAGAGTTATTAACCAAATTCGTCTATTTTCTATAAGTACTGTAATGAATGAGAACACTTACTTACTTACTTACTTACTTACTTACTTACTTACTTACGCCTGTTACTCCCAATGGAGCATAGGCCGCCGACCAGCATTCTCCAACCCACTCTGTCCTGGGCCTTCTTTTCTAGTTCCATCCAATTCTTGTTCATTTTTCTCATATCTATCTCCATTTCCCGGCGTAATGTATTCTTTGGTTTTTCTCTTCTCCTTCGACCTTGAGGATTCCATATGAGGGCTTGTCTTGTGACGCAGTTGGGTGTTTTCCTCAATGTGTGTCCTATCCACTTCCAGCGCTTCTTCCTGATTTCTTCCTCCACTGGGATCTGATTTGTTCTCTCCCACAGTAGGTTGTTGCTTATAGTGTCCGGCCAGCGGATCTGAAGTATTTTGCGTAGACACCTGAGCTACAAATCTTCTCCACCATCTGCTTAGACAACTGTTAATAAACACCTGTATCTTTTGGACGATGGATTTCGTAGTTTTCCAGGTTTCCGCCCCAACAGTAGAACTGTCTTGACATTTGTATTGAAAATTCTGACTTTGGTGTTGGTTGCTAATTGTTTTGAGTTCCAGATATTCTTCAGTTGTAAATATGCTGCTCTTGCTTTGGCGATCCGTACCTTCACATCTTCATCAGATCCACCATGTTCATCGATGATACTGCCCAAATATGTAAAGGTTTTTACATCTTCCAAATCTTCTCCGTCAATTGTGATTGGATTGTTATATACTGTGTTGTATCGAAGAATCTTGCTTTTCCCTTTGTGTATATTGAGACCTATTGCTGCTGAGGCTGCAGCTACACTGGTTGTCTTCTCCTAGCCAGAATGAGAACACAAATGGGGACAATCGAATGTATTTGAATACAGAATTTAAGAACCATAGAGTAAATATCAATCGATTGTCTCAAACTTGACTGTTTCTTCGTTTCCATAACCATCACTCTCTGTTCTCATTCTCTTCTTTTTTGATCTTCTTAACATTCTACTTTCAAATATTTCACTTTCAATTGGTGATACATACTACTTATATCTGTCGTCATCAGTAGCATACAACATAGTACTCTAATATTATGTTTTATTATATTTTTACGTTGTTTGATGGTGAAATTTTAAATTCACTATTCGATGTGTTTGTTATTTTCTAAATTAATTCATAGATGTTTGCGTTTACATTAAGCTATTTCAAACTATATTGAAAGCTTACACATATGAAACAAGAAAGAAATATATTGAATTAGAGGCTTAGGAAAAACTGATTGTATTCTGAACTAATGGTTGCGAATAGAACTATACTTTTGGTTACGTTTACATATTGTTAGTTACACTCTAGGGGCGCAGTTTACGTAAAGAACTTCCGAAGAAACTGAACCAACTACCTGTAGTCACAGCAAACTTCTTGATTCAAAGAAGACTAGACCATTTTCTTTTACTTAAACTTTGATAACAGTGATACTAGTTCAAATTTCTGAAGAGTTATAACATCGTCATCATAACACTAAGAAGGCATTATATCTATTTTAAAAAAACAGAATAGATTTTTCGTGGTTTATAATTAAGACGATTAATTAATGGTTAAGGTGTCCAACATCCAGTTACTACGTCCTAGCTTCGACTAGCTTTTGCCAACTTGCGTCATTTATGGCATAGACTAGATATCCGTCTATCAACCAAAGGACGTGTTTACTGCGCAGCAGTTCGTTCCGTCCTACTTTATGGCAGTGAAACATGGCCGGTAAGAGTAGAGGATACTCGTAGGTTACTAGTATTTGATCATAGGTGTCTTCGAAACATTGCTCGTATATCCTGGGACCACCGAGTAAGTAATGCAGTTGTTAGGAAACAGGTACTAGGTAAGGATAGCAAATCAATTGATGAAGTAGTGAAACTTAATCAGTTGAGATGGCTGGGACATGTGTTACATATGCCCAACCACCGACTGCCCCGACGTGAGATGTTTTATGGTGTACGAGTAGGTTGGAAGAAAGCTAGGGACGGCAGACCAAACACATGGCACAAATCCATGAAGTCACTGACAAGTGGACTGAGCCATGTTGGTAGGTGTAGACTACCTGGTTGGGATCTGCGAGACGATAGAAACCGATGGTTAGAGATCTTGAATGACATGGCTCAAAATCGTTTGCAATGGCTCAGGCGCATCCACTCTTTGTGTTCTCCTAAATACTAATCTTCTGAATTCTTCATGTCCTTTGTTTTCCTCTTTCCAAATTTATTTCACTGAATTATACTCCTTGAATAACATCTTCAAACCCTAATGTTTCCGATTACTGCTTATACTTTTAATACCTCTACCACTACAGAATTTGAATCGACAACTGCATCTCGGTACTAATGTGGTATGGCAACTTTAACTGATGTACGTACGTACAAAGTTCTACGTTGTTACTGACTAACTGACTCCTAGCTTCGAACCCTGTCAGATCTACTTCAGTTTGGGCAACTGACATAGTATCATTAACCCCCACGCCAAACTTACAGTATGACTGACACTCAAGTGCCTGATAAATGAACTGACTTTTTCAATAAAAATCTTTATAAATACTGAATTAGCTTAATGATACACTGTAATCCATAGATTATGGTCAGTAATGAGAAAACCCTAGGGTACACTTTTAGTTAATATTGTACACTTAACGTATAATTGATTATATCTACAACATATGGTTACATAGATCCGATTATTATTATTATTATTATTATTATTATTTTAAATAAAGTATGATTTATAACTTGTTAGTATAATCAAATATATTATATGGTTTCGGTCAATGAGAACAATCTATTGTCAATTTAGATTAATATAAAATAACATTCACAAGACATATAGTCATATGTTTAACTAATCTAACAATTTATTTTTAACTGTATAAGTAGATAATAAATTCCATTACGAAATCTTATATTAGATGATTGGAGATATTGACTTATTATCCAAACTGAAGTCAAGAGAGATCATGAAGAGACATAAGTGGGTCAGTCAGTCACAACGTAGAACCTAAATTTACGTATATCGGTTCAAGTTTCCATACTTCATTAGCACAGTTAAATGCAATTGTCAGGTCAAATTCTAGAATAGTAGAAGTAGTAACAATATCAATGATAATAGGAAAGATTAATCATTGAAGGTATAAACTTAAGTTGGACGACCAGTGAAAAACAGGAATTACTGTTCAGCTGTTCTATCCTAGTGTGGAACTCATCAGAAGTGAAAATACATGACTACAAAGAGGATTGAACTCAAAACCTTCAGGTATTACAAGTAGCTAGTTTCTTATATAACTTGATATTAGTCCATAATCTTTAGACCATTGAGCGGGTATGGTCTCTATGTCTAACTTCGATCGATTTATGATACTTCCCAACTATATAACATAGCTGTTTTAATCCCTCTTCATATTATTATTATTATTATTATTATTATTATTATTATTATTATTATTATTATCGTAATACTATCATAGTAAGCTAATTTAGTCAACCAAACAACACATTACCTCCTATTTCATACAGTCGTCAATCAAACCTAATTACTTATTCAAAAAACTAAATAAATATAGAAAGTTAAATCTGTATTTTCTGTAAGTACCACAACGCGCAGTACTAAATATTGTTGGGGACGGTTGGCATAAAGTTAGGAGTGGCCAAACCAAAACGTCGCATCAATCCATAAACTCATTAACCATGTTGGTAGATGCAGATTACTTGATTGGGGTCCGCGTGACTATCGTAAACAATGGTTAAAGACTCTAGATGATATGGCTCAGAATCGATCACAATGGCGTAGGTGGATACACACTCTGTCTTCCTTTAAATGATGAGATTAAAATTATTTCATATCTTTCTTTCTACGAACTAATTCTTTCTTTCTGTACTGTACCCTTACATAATATCTTTCCTTTTATATATTACCACCATTGAAGTGACTACTTTTATGAATCCAGTGTTCATCTTGCAGTGCTAATGAGGTGTGGCAACTTGAACCGATGTATATATGTGTCTAGTCCTACGTTGTATCTGACTGACTGTATTTTTTGTGACTAGTATCGGATAGTTGAGTGATCATAAGTCAGTAAAACAGTTTACTTTATGGAATTTATTTAGGAGTTAAGCGTCATAGTTGCACATTGAATCTCACCAACAATAGTTATATAACAGATAGATAGTAATATTTCTGTAAATGAGAAGTTAAGTAGGAACAACCGATTTGTTATTTCATACAAAATTATAGAGTAAATTCTCCATCAATCGTCTCAAAGTTCATTGTTCCTTCATTACTATAACAATTACTCTGTGTGCCCATTCTCTTCGATTAGATCTTCCCAACCTTCTACTACTAGGTAGTCCACTACTGATCGGTGTTACGTACTACTTATGTCTGTTGACATAAGTAGTTTACACCATAGTATTACAAGTCTGTGTATTACTTTAGAGTTGAACAAAAATATTTACACTTACTTATAAGTATCCTTTACTCTATGATTAATGAACTTGTAGATTACATGTAGTTCATTTTACAAGTACAGATATATGTACTCAACTTTTCAGGCACATTTTTTCGCATAAAAACTAAATATATTATTCGGTTATTCACATCAAAGCAAATGGCCATAGGGTTCGGACCAGTAACCTATTGATTGAAAATCTACTCATTTAACTAATCATGTTTATTTCACTCTTGAGAACCAATTAGTAGGTTGGTTTATCTTTCACGCTTACTGTTTCTCATCAAACCAAAAACAAAAAAGCGGGTAATTCTACTTTATATCATTACCATAAAATTACTACTACTACTACTACTACTACTACTACTACTACTACTACTACTACTACTACTACTACTACTACTACTACTACTACTACTACTACTACTACTACTACTACTACTACTACTACTACTACTACTACTACTACTACTACTACTACTACTACTACTACTACTACTACTACTACTACTACTACTACTACTACTACTACTACTACTACTACTACTACTACTACTACTACTACTACTACTACTACTACTACTACTACTACTACTACTACTACTACTACTACTACTACTACTACTACTACTACTACTACTACTACTACTACTACTACTACTACTACTACTACTACTACTACTACTACTACTACTACTACTACTACTACTACTACTACTACTACTACTACTACTACTACTACTACTACTACTACTACTACTACTACTACTACTACTACTACTACTACTACTACTACTACTACTACTACTACTACTACTACTACTACTACTACTACTACTACTACTACTACTACTACTACTACTACTACTACTACTACTACTACTACTACTACTACTACTACTACTACTACTACTACTACTACTACTACTACTACTACTACTACTACTACTACTACTACTACTACTACTACTACTACTACTACTACTACTACTACTACTACTACTACTACTACTACTACTACTACTACTACTACTACTACTACTACTACTACTACTACTACTACTACTACTACTACTACTACTACTACTACTACTACTACTACTACTACTACTACTACTACTACTACTACTACTACTACTACTACTACTACTACTACTACTACTACTACTACTACTACTACTACTACTACTACTACTACTACTACTACTACTACTACTACTACTACTACTACTACTACTACTACTACTACTACTACTACTACTACTACTACTACTACTACTACTACTACTACTACTACTACTACTACTACTACTACTACTACTACTACTACTACTACTACTACTACTACTACTACTACTACTACTACTACTACTACTACTACTACTACTACTACTACTACTACTACTACTACTACTACTACTACTACTACTACTACTACTACTACTACTACTACTACTACTACTACTACTACTACTACTACTACTACTACTACTACTACTACTACTACTACTACTACTACTACTACTACTACTACTACTACTACTACTACTACTACTACTACTACTACTACTACTACTACTACTACTACTACTACTACTACTACTACTACTACTACTACTACTACTACTACTACTACTAACAATAATTAAATTTACCTTTGTGAGAAATCCGGTCACATGTGAATCCACGATACTTTTAATTACAAATTCACCTGAATTCAATTGAGAATTATCACCTGATTGCGTATTATCTTTATTATTTGTACCAGATAATTGATTTTGCATTGTTTTAATATTAGGCTTGAAAAATACACATGAAAAGAATTATGTAAATCTCTTATTTAACAATAAATAATGATACTTATGATTGATAGATATAATAATACATATTAAAATACTTTCATTAAGAAAATAGAATGTAACCAATGTAGGGGAGAGATACAATGGCCAAATAGACTGTATCAACAAGAGGGAAAACACATGGGATTGGTTGGGACGTACATTTTATTTTTAGGAAATGAGATACACACATATAGTGGAGATATACGACTTGAATTTCTAAGCGATATATATATATATATATCAGAAGGGGTTTTGTAGAGATTTTGGTAATTTCAATAGTTGGAATTATGAGTCAATTGAAGCTAGATCACCATGGAAAACATGGAAAAACTGGACAGCCGTTTGGTCCACAAAACCCCTTCTGATAATAATCATCTGCTCATTAGTGACTGACTTCAAGAGACCCTCCTGGAGTTTTAGTAAGAATCCGTGACTAGTGGGGTTCAACCAGATCTGTTGTGAGATATCACTTTACTGAAGAGAATGGTGATGGTGACGAAATTCCGTGGATTGGTTGAAGTTGGGCATTAACACCGTTGGATGCCGGCCAGCTCAGTGGTCTAGTGGTTAAGCTTTCACGCGCGAGACTGACAGGTCCTGGGTTTGAATCTCGCGGAGGGCGGTGTCGTGGGTTCACACTGCTGAGGAGTCCCATACTAGGACGAAACGGCCGTCCAGTGCTTTCAGGTTTTCCATGGTGATATATGTCCCCACTCAGGTAGTTTGGTTGGGTTGCTCACATAGGAAGTTGGTGTGAGTCGGACACAACAACAGATACAGATACATCAGATAGATGACAAAACGTACCTACAGAGAACCTAGTTCAATCAAATTTTAGACAGGTTTCATTCATGACTATATGTACGTAAGACAAGGATACTAGTTGGCTTCTCAAATTTATAAAAACGAGGTAGGGTTGAAATTATCAACTAAGTGATTAAAAATCAAATGCATTGATCTTTAATCCACCTACCCATTAAAGATACGTCATTTTGAAGTTATCACATTTCACTAACGAATAGAAACAGACAATCAAAAGAATTGAAATAACAATAAAAATATAAGACGCGGGCGAACAAAAGAACAAATGTAAACGATAACTAATATGACACTTGAGACTGAGGAGAAATTTCATGTGATGAATCGTGAACAATTCTGATAAATATAATATTCAGTTTCTTCATTCAGTTATTGCTTTCATCGCTAAGGTATTATCCAGATAGTCTAAACCTATCAAATTCTTCATCTGTATTGTATAACTAGGCCACCAATACATACCTATCCTAAAGTAACACATTGAGTATGAAGAGGAGATATATTTCAAACACTATAAAATTATTAATCAAGACTCCTAGAAAACTACATTTTGTTAGCATCTTCTTTAAAAAAATGTGTTGTCCTAACATTATAATTTGGTGAAATAGCCTCCTTTTCGGGCATCAATACCCAGAGTTGTAAATGGAAATGTATATACGCGTGGCCATGTGAAAGCATTTGAAGAGGGAGAATGGACTATCCCCACCCTCAGCCGTACATCCAGATCCTATAATCTAACTATTCTAATCTAAGTTGATCTAATTGGTAATTTGTCAACAACATCATCTTTAAACATTTCCAGAACTCATTCATTATAAATTGATCGGAATTTAACTATGCTATTTATTCTCTACTCCGTTAAGCGTAGAGGGCACAATCATGCTCTCTAATTCAAGTTGATTGTTTCTCTATTAGTTTTCCTAAACAAATTTCAAGGATAGATAATCCTCTACCAACCATATTCAGAGCTGGTGTATAGAGATGAGACACTTCTATTTTCGCTATTGTTGACTGAAAGGTTATCTATTTGTTGGATTGTTATATAAAATCCCTCATTACTGCATATTTATTCTCGGTTCAACGCTCTTACTTTAGAGTTAATGTCAACCATTACAACTGCTGGAGTAAATTAAATGGCTAGTGGTAGAGTTTGTCTTTTGTTCTATCACATAACCACCAGTTTATATCTTTGTTCTTCGAGATTCAGGATAATTAAACTATATACTGACTTATTTAACATTTCGATCTATATAATCTTTAAAGTGAAAAGCAGTGAAATTCACGATACACATTTCATCCTATCAATTCAATATAACTGTATCTTAATATTGATATTCACACTGGGATCTGAAACCCAGTACCTTTTCATTTCAAACATTCAATGCTCAACTTATTGAGTTACCAACAACAAAGATTTACCTAAAACTCTTCTAAAATTCCATTCATTTTATAACAAACAAAAAAAATTGAACTTACAGAATTTTTATCAAAATATGTAGATTCATATGCATTACATATTGAATTCATTAGATTTTGATCATCAATTGTCCATACATATAACTCATCTGTTACATTTGAAACATCATCGTTTTTTAAATTTAATTGTAATGGATCTTCAGTATTTTTTGTCAATGTTACCGATGATGAAGATGATGATAACGATGATGATGATGATGACAAGGAACAAGATGATGATGATGACGATGACGATGATGATGATGACGATGATGATGATGATGATGAATAGTCAGTCATAGAAAATGGATTAATAATAGAAGTAATTGGTATAGTAAATTTTCTTTCATCCAATTTAGCAATTTTCATTTCACTAGCATCATCATTATTCTTTATAAGTGGATCATAATGTAAAATATTTATAGGATTAGTTTGTTTCATTACTAAATTAAGATCATGATTTTGATGTGACATTGGTGACGGTTGTTGTTGTTGTTGTTGTTGTTGTTGTTGTTGTTGTTGCTGCTGCTGCTGCTGCTGCTGATGGTGATGATGTTGATGTTGATGGTGATGATTTCGTTGATGTTGATCATATGATAATGTATCATTGATTAAACTAACTGGACAATATTGTGTAATATTATTTCCATTAGTTATTAATGATTGTGGAAATTGTTCATTATTCCAATTAGAATCAGTTACAATTGGTTGAATAAAATTATTTTGATGTTGTTGTAATGGTAATTGATGATGTTGATGAATTGAATTAATACTATTATGTATTGTAGTTAAAGGATGATGATGATGATGATGAAATGTATTGTCAATTGTTTCATTAATAGTTGAATTATTTGTCCAATATATTTGATTTGATTCATCTAATGGTATATTAGATGATATATTCATTAATGAATTTGAATGAAGTGTATTATTTGACATTAAATCTGTTGTTGTTACTTGAAGTGAATGACCAGAACGATTTTGATGATGATGATGATGATGTTGTTGATGTTGATGATGGTGATGTTGATGTGGTTGATGATGATTAGTACTTACGTAATGACCATGTTGATTTATAGGAGAATTTCCATCTGAATAAATAAGATTATTTCTTGTTGGTGATGTTTGTAATAATGGAAGCATAGCACAATTTGGATCATATATTGTTGGTTGAATTGATGTTGAATTATGTTGATCAAGATTATTAGTAGAAGATTGTACTGTTGGACTAAGATTTGTAGATATATGTAGTTGAGTTGAATTACCATCATTTGGTGATAAATTAGTAAAATTCATTACACCTGTTTGAGCGGTTATCGATGAATAATTATGTAATACTGAACATGGTTGATTAGTTGTTACCATTGGTGATTTAATTTGTGATTGTCTAATTTGTGCTGGAATTATATTCTGTTGAGATATTAAAGGAGAACGATGAAGTGGTGAAACAGCAGTTGAAAGAGAAGAAGGTGTTGGAGGAAGATAACTAGTTTGTTTAGGTGGACTTGGACCAGAATTCATTTGACTTTGTTGTATTGCATTGTCAGATTCAGCACGTTTACGTGCACGATTTGCTTCAATTAAACGACGTTTTGCTAAACGTTTTTCTTCATCCAAAACCACTTTTTTTAGAAAAAAGAAATTGAGATGTCAATCTATTGGTTAGTGTTTCATTCTAAACTAAATTTATTTAGAGAAACTTGGATATCTTTGTTATTGTCATAAACACTCCTGTCATAAGACTTATCAGGAATCAATCTATCAGGAGATACACAAATGATCTAACTTTGTTTGGCAAAGACTTTCAACAACTTCAGTCTTTTAACTGCCTTTAACAACAATATCAGCATGTTTGAGATTCATTTCTCTTCATTTAAATGTAAAATTTTGCATCAGGACTAATCTGTACCAATGCCTTAACTAGTAATACGGAGTGAGGCAGTTGAGTACATCGACCACTTTATTTATCCTAGGAGTTTCATCAGTCCTGATAGATTGATGCCTGATGAAAGCTCATCAAGAATTCAGAAAGTCCTGTTGCTTTTTGACAATTTACGTAACTTGTGGCATAGGTGAGATACCCGTCTGCCAACTAAAGAATGACTCTATTGTTCAACAACTTGCCCTGTTTATCTTTATGAGTGTGAAACATGGTCATTCAAATTAGAGGACCTTTGTAGATTGTTAGTGCTCAATTATAGATGTCCTCGTATATTTTGGGATCATCGTGTTAGCAATTCTGAGGTTAAACGTAAAGTGAAAGGTAAAGATAACGAATCAATTGATGAGTGGATTGTTATAGACTGAGATAGTTGGGATATGTATTACGTATGCCCAACCACCTCGACACATGACCATTTTCTATGTAACAGTATGGGAGACTAAACCAAGTTGCGGCATCAGTCCATGAAAACGCTACCTGTTGGAATGAGTCATGTAGGCAGATGAGAACTATTTGATTAGGATCTGCATGATTATTGTAACTAATGGTTAGAGGCTTTCAATGACATGTTTCAAAATCGTTCTGAATGACATAGATTCATTCAATCTGTTTCCAATTAGATCTTCAGTTTCTAAAATCCTCATACATTTATTTTTATTATTCTATTAATTTATATTTTCTTCTTGAATCATATATTCGACTGCTAGTCTTCTCTATTAGTATTAATACTGTTACTATTTATACTACTAAGGAATTCTCCCTGACAATTTTATCTTCTTGTGCTAATGGTGTGTGGCAACGTGAACCTATGTGCTCATTTGCTAAAATCTACGTTGTGCCTGAATGACCAAAATCTATGTTTATTTCGTAATTTTGGATCATTTAGCATCACCAATCGCTGACCTTCACTATTTTAGGAATCGCATTCTGCTTCCTATACCTTAAGTCGACTGGAGATCTGGCTGGTTAACTCGATGAGTATTTTCACGTTTTATTTCACTCTACTCTCTCTCTCTCAGTTTATATTAAAGATACGATTACTTGTCGGATGTAAAGTAGTATAAGTCTTAATTTGGAATTTCATAGCATAATGATACTAATAAACTATTTCAATAGTTGAGATCATGAGCCATATGAAGCTAGACCACCGTGGAAAGCCTGAGAGCATCGAATGGCCGTTTCGTCCTATTGTGGAACTCGTCAGCAGTGAGCATCCACGATCCAGTTCACGGGATTTAAACCCAGAACCTTCGGTTTCGCGCTCGAACGCTTAACCTCTAGACCACTGATCCAGCATGTTTAGATTCAACTAATCCACGAAATTGAGTGTCACATCCACCACTGTTTTCAGTGAGTTACTCTCATAACAGACCCGATTGAACTCCACTTGTCATTGCTTCTTACTAGAACTCCAGGAAATATCTCTTAAAGCCAGTCACTAATCATACTAATACTGATATTGATCAACTCTTTTGATAGGTTTCTTCAAGTACAAGAAAGACAAGTTAACTGAAAAAAGATTCTATTCACACTGAATATGATACAGAGAGATCCATCAAGCATTCATTTCATCCCATCTAATGAATACTTATTTATATCAGATAAATGACATTCAATTAGATATTTGTAGCAAAACACAAGAAGTTTCATCCATTTATTCCAGTTGCATCACGTCAAAATACTCGAAGACTGACCCAATACTAAATACATAACTTTAAGATATTGTTAACTCAAATGTGAATATAGTTTAAACTGATTAAGGTTACATCAGACATTACAGCCAGTAATCAGTATCAGTCAGTCGCAACGTAAATACTGAGACGTATGTACATTGGTCCCATTTACCATATACCATTAGTACAGAGAGATGTTAGACCATATCCCAGAATAGTAGACGTAGTAAGTGTCAGAAGTATTAGGAAAGATTAAGCATCAAAGATACGACTGGGAAAGAAAATAGGAATTAGCGAAATGAAAACAAAACAGAGTTACGAAGAATTTCGAGTCTCAAGATTTGGAGGAACACATTGAATAGATGCACCACAGACATTGCAGACATTTTAGATCTATATCATTCAAAGTTCCTAATCATTGGTTTCGATAAACATGAGGACCCCAACCGATTAGCTTACACCTATTAACATAACTCATTCCAATTGTCAGTGACTTCATGAACTTATGAAATGTATTGGTTTGACCACCCCTAACTTTCTTACAACCTACTCCCACACCAAACAATATTGGTTGCTAGGGTGGTCCATATTTTGGGATGCATAGTAAGTGTCCGAACCACCTGATTTGTGAAGATTTACTACTTCATCAGTCGTTTCGTAATCCTTACATAGTGCCCTTTTCTTAACCTAGTATATGTAAAGACTACTGATAATATGGAAACTATGTGAAGTTAGATGAACATGCTTGCGGATGTCTGAAAAAATTTGCCAAAGCATTACTATAAATTGGATATACTTGAAACTCAGTGATATTGTGACAATACTCGTTCATATGAAAAACAGTTTACTCGCGTACAACAGCGTGAAAGGGTCAGAGATAGGGACAAGAAAAACTTAATCTTTAGAAAACACTACGGGTTGTGGAGACTGTTGAATGTTATTGAGAACACGGACCGTCATGCACATTAGTGACTAGCTTCCATAAGAAATTTCCGTAGTTCTAGTGGGGAGCATTGAACAGTGGAGTTCAACAGTGTTAGATGTGAAGACATTTTCCATCGAAGAGAGCAGACGATTGCGCTCTATTACTGATTGACTAAAGTTACACTTGTACACAGTTGAATCTCGGATCAGTTGTATAAATGTTGAGTGACTGCACACGAGATCGAAGGTCCTGTGTTCAATCTCAGGTAGCGAATCATGAATGGACATTGCTAGGAAGTTTGATACTCAGTGATTTGTTCAATTCCAGCCAATAGTATTGGTCTAATTTAATTCGGTTTGTGGTTTAAATAACAAACTTAAATAATAATAGTAGTAATCGGTTCAACTCAAAGCCCAAGATCATAGTTAAACAAACAAAATAATTATTTTCAACTTACAATCTTTTGCCATACCACCTTTAATACACCGATCAAAACGACATTTTTGACAACTATTTCGATTTTGTTTATCCGATACAGAACATCGTCCATTATATTTACAAGTATAAACTAGTTTCTTCTGTACTGAACGTCGAAAAAATCCTTTACAACCTTCACATGTCATAGCACGATAATGAAATCCAGTTGCATTATCACCACATACAACACAAGGTTCAGGACCATTGGCTGGATCCATATAACTAGGAATATATGGATCTTCTGGTAAACAGAAAAATATATGTAGAGAAATGGATGAATAAACAAGTAATAATTTATTTTCTTATAAATGGATTTTTGTGGATATTACAGTAATTTTAATACTTGAGATCATGAGTCAATTGAAGTTAGACCGCTATAGAAAACCTGGGAGCACTGAGCGACCGTTTCGTTCTAGTGTGAGACTCCTCAACAGTGCGCACCCAATTGTATTTTACATCATTTCAGCAACTAGAATTTTAATAATTTCAACTATGTTGCCTGGACTTATTTAGGGTTATAATACTTAAAATCAAAATTATCAAAGATTGTAGAATCTTTAATCTCATTACAAAGAAAGGAGACCGATAGATGAAATTAAATTAAGATTTTGTTCACACAGTGTAAACAACTATCCTAAAGGGATATAAAAGAAGATTGTTAAAAATGAATGTAAGACTAATTTAGGTTATATACTGAGAGCGTTGTTGTCATCTCATATCATACAGAAACATCAAAGGAAATGAACGAGATTCTAAGTAAACACAATATAAGAGTCTGTTTCCGTGCAAGTGATACGATCTAATCGACGTTAGCTAAAGTTAAGAATAGACTTTTAAGTGAAAAATAACAAAATTTTCTCTATGAGATGGATGAAACAGTGGAACGGTGTTTGAAACATGTTCATAAATCCTGGATTGATCTGAAGAAACTTGAGTATAGATTGACAATAGTGTTAAGTTCGTTAAAAACAGGATATAAGATCAACTTCGAAGGGACCAAAAAAGGTTTAACACGTACGAAGAAAGATCCTGGTGCCATGTGCACCATTGGTTTGTAATCAGAGTAATCCAACTTCCCGAGTTTGATCCTCCATATTCACCAACCCGGTTAAAGTGCCGGACATTCGCTTTTCATCCTCTCAATTTCGTAAACAACATCTCCGCCCCAAGAAGACAGTGAGTAGAACTTCCCTGATAGTGGCTGTATACACGTGGTCATATGAAAGCATTTGGAGAGGGAGAGTGAACTCGACCCACTCCCGGCCGTACCAAGGCATTTATGGATTATTTCAAAATAATTTTTACATGTAATGTCTTCTAAATAATCAGGACTCGACTTCTGTCAAGTTATTGGAGAATATTAATTTGAATTAACAATTTACATATAAGCACAAAAGTTTAAGTAAAAAAAAACAGTATTTTTTATTTGGTAGCCTGAATTTTGCTTAAAATGATAGTAATCTTAGGAAGCACTAAAGGATTCTAATGATAAGTAAGCAGGAGAAAACTAGGAACTTCAGTAATTTATTTTAATAGACAGAATTGAATAGCGGGTAGCGATCCAATCCAGAACGTGCGTCTCGTCCTATATGGGACTCATCAATAGGATGTATCTGGCCCCTAGAGTTTATGGTCTCACCGAAACTCAATACCTCTCTCTTCAAACACTCAATAATATGATCCACTGAGCTACTAAGTCTAAATTGCTAATGATTTGTCCAACCAGATGAATTTCTACTAAATTTGTATTGATTGTCTGAATCAAATTGAAGTGCAAGTACGCTTAACCGATGAGTTCCAAATTGGTTTGAATTCCATTACTATTTGATGGCAATCTAGAAGCAATCAGTGCAGAATGCACATGTCCTAAAAGGGACTCATCAATTTTACTCCATAATATCAACGGGAAAATTCAATAATCTATGTTAAATGAATTCGGATTCATGTTTGTGCATAGAAATCACTGAATTATTTAATGTGAAATGTATTCAAAATTGTTGATTTCTCATATGAGAGCCAAAGTTTCCTAGATCACATTACGGAGTGATTTTAGTTAGACAACCACTGAAAACCGGTAGGCACTAAACAACTATTTTTAAATATGGGACACCTCAGCAGTGAACATCCATGACTAATAGAAATTGAAGCTAGGACCTTCAGGTCTCCAATATTGCGCAACCATCTTTTAATGCCACAGATAGCTAACTGCACCACACATAACATGATTAGACTCCACTGGTCACGGCTTCCTACTAGAACTTAAAAACTTACCATTGGATGTCGGCTCAGCGACTTGCAGGTTAAGTAATAATGAACCATTACTGATGAATCTCATTTTAAGGTGAAATAAGGGCCTTTACGTTTCGCGGCAAACGATTAACTATTAAAACTGGGTTGGTGTTCGGTTGTGCAATTGTAGCTTTAATCAATGTGGTGATTATTTAATACCACTGGTAGAAAATGCTTCATTTCTAACGTACTTGAGCTCTACCTTTCACAACACTCCAACAGGACTTCACTGATCAAATGCTTTTCATAAATTTTTAAAGGTAGATAATCAACCTCACTTTATTATTATCAAATTCTCTGATAAACATTCGTTCGAGACAAGTACTAAATGGTATCATTTGAATTGAGGTTAATTATTTTAAAATTCATTACGTACAAATTTTTATACTTGGCTTCCAATCACACTTGGTATATGAGAACTAGTGGTAATCGCTGAGACGGACTTCAAAAGTATGACTTAGTTTTAGAGAGTTGAACACCATGACCACTGAGTTACAATTTCAATTACCAGCCCCCAAATGCCCTGGTACGGCCGAGAGTAGGGATAGTCCACTCTCCCTCTCAAAATGCTCTCACATGGCCATGCGTATATAGCCTCTGCTAGGGAAGTCCTACTCACTGCCTTCTCGCACCACGGGTGTTGTTTACGAAAATGAGAGGACGAAAAGCGAATGTCCGATGCTTTAACCGGATCCCAAACCAAGGGTGCACATGGGCTCCAGTATCCTGAAGGAACAAATGGCGTATGAACCAATCGTTGGTCACCGGCTACCATGGGACTGCATCTCCTCACGATGCTCCACTGCCTTGTGGGTCAGACGTTCAGGTCGAAGGCTCGGGGTGTGGCCCCCTAAGAAAACCACCTGCTTCGGTTTGGGCACCCGGGTAGTATCACAGCCCTCACACAAATCAATTGAGATTCGTGTGGCGCATATGTACTTGGTGCTTCCCTGTACCTATACTTATGTGTTAAAATAATAAATAATAAAATTACCAAGTAGTGAGTGTTATAAGTTGGCTGAATGATTTTTAGTAATTAGAACACAATAATCTTTTAGTTATTTGGTCGAAGGGGTCTTTCTGCCTAATTCCATTTTTGATAGATAACTCACATCATCAAGTCTCACATAAAAATATGGAGGCTTCTTCGACACTACGGCGTGCCTCAGAAGATAGTCAATATCATACGGAATACCTACGATGGATTAAACTGCAAAATCGTGCATGGAGGACAGTTGACAAAGTCGTTCGAAGTAAAGACTGGTGTCAGGCAAGGTTGCTTACTCTCATCCTTTCTCTTTCTCCTGGTGATCGACTGGATCATGAAGACATCAACATCTGAAGGGAAGCACGGGATACAGTGGACATCTAGGATGCAGTTGGATGATCTAGACTTTGCAGATGATCTGGCTCTTCTATCGCATACACAACAACAAATGCAGGAGAAGACAACCAGTGTAGCTGCAGCCTCAGCAGCAATAGGTCTCAATATACACAAAGGGAAAAGCAAGATTCTTCGATACAACACAGCATGTACCAATCCAATCACAATTGACGGAGAAGCTTTGGAAGATGTAAAAACCTTTACATATTTGGGCAGTATCATCGATGAACACGGTGGATCTGATTCAGATGTGAAGGCTCGGATTGGCAAAGCAAGAGCAGCATATCTACAACTGAAGAATATCTGGAACACAAAACATTTAGCAACCAACACCAAAGTCAGAATTTTCAATACAAATGTGAAGACAGTTCTACTGTATGGGGCGGAAACCTGGAAAACTACGAAATCCATCATCCAAAAGATACAGGTGTTTATTAACAGTTGTCTACGCAAAATACTTCAGATCCGCTGGCCGGACACTGTAAGCAACAACCTACTGTGGGAGAGAACAAATCAGATTCCAGTGGAGGAAGAAATCAGGAAGAAGCGCTGGAAGTGGATAGGACACACATTGAGGAAAACACCCAACTGCGTCACAAGACAAGCCCTCATATGGAATCCTCAAGGTCGAAGGAGGAGAGGAAGACCAAAGAATACATTACGCCGGGAATTGGAGATAGATATGAGAAAAATGAACAAGAATTGGATGGAACTAGAAAAGAAGGCCCAGGACAGAGTGGGTTGGAGAATGCTGGTCGGCGGCCTATGCTCCATTGGGAGTAACAGGCGTAAGTAAGTAAGTAAGTATGGTTTATTCAATGAATCGCGTTTTATATGTGAAGTCTTTATAATCAAAGAGGTAGGGTATTGATGGTTAATCGTCAAAGAAACATTATTATTATTTATTATTTGAACACATAGATATTGTTACAAGGAGGCACCAAATACATATGTGCCACACGAATCTCATTTGATCTGCCCGGGTGCCCAAACCAAAGCAGGTCGCTTCTCGGCTCTCTGAGCTAAGATCATGTGTAGTATCTGTTTTTTGCAGTGTGATTTCTGCAACGGTCTCTAAATTGAGACCAATGAAATTACCTGTATTTTTCACCTCCGGACGGGTGCTGTGGGCTTGCTCAAATCCGTCCACGGGTCGACCTCGTATTTCATTGCAAAGAAACATTATTTCATCACGGACTTATATTTACATTAAGATTATTAATCTCAATCTCGCATTCGTGCTCGAGACCTAGGCTCCTGGGCTCGAATCCTGTGTGCAGGATCGTGGATTCGCAATGTTGAAAAGTCCCATACTAGGACGAAGCGGTTGTCTAGTGCTTCCATGTATTCAATGATGGTGTAACATCTACCGATTCATGATCTTAAAACAATAAATAGTCTTAATTTTAATGTTAATATTTGAATATGCCTTAACTTTTCATTACACCTTATGAAGGTGTACCACAAGGAGCTGTTCTTTCACCTCTTCTTTTCTCTTTTTTTTCTGCATGATCCGCTATCTTCCACAGTAAACACTTTCGTGAAATATGCAGACGATCTCACTGTTTGTATGCCTATCTCTTCCTCTTTACATCCTATAGAAATGAACGAGTTTTTATCTCGCATTGATAGCTGGTCTGTCGTTAATGGTCTCCTACTTAATCCGTCTAAATGTCAAGCTGTTAACTTTAGCATGAGACATGATCGGCATTTAAACACCTTTTTGAGATCTCATAATGCTTGTGCCATTGGCGACTCTTTGATAAACACAGTGTCGACGGTCAATTATCTTGGTGTTACCTTTTCCTCTGATCTCTCTTGGTCTTCTCACGTTTTATTGTTATCGAAGAAGGTTTTCCGTCTGACATACTACATTAAGAGGTTGCATGCCTTTGGGATCACTCGTCATTTACTCCTACAATTTGTCAATTCTTGCATATTACCTATTATTCTGTACTGTTCTCCGTTATTCTTTCCCGGGCTTTTGAGAAAAGACTTTGCTGTACTGCGGAGAGCGCTGAAGGCAGTTAGCAAGTTATGTGGTGAATCTTTTGAGACTATAATTAATATGATTGTGGATAGACATCTAAAGTCATGCAAACTCCTGGCAGATGTTATTTTATCAGATACTAACCATCCCCTTCACTCATATCTTTCTCCTTGTATATCTTCTGGTAGAACAAGACGAAATTACATTAAAATCCAAGCACGCAAGCAAAAGTATAAACGTTCTATAGTACCTTACCTAGCAAATGTACTCTGTAACGAACAGGTTGTTAGAGTTAACCTAGTCAATAATCTGCATTCTTAACATGACTCTAATTGAAAAGTTGTACAGTTTTTTTTTCAGATTTTTTTTAACCGTTTTTTTTTCTTTTGTTCTGTAAAAGAAACTTGTTGAAATATTTTTGTGCTGAGAATTCTATATTGTACCAAAATATAATATTGAATAAAGCCATAAATAAATAAATAAATAAATAAATAAATAAATGATATAGGGAATTTCTGAGAGCAAACAAGAATAAAGATTTTAATAGTTGAGATCATGAGCCAATTGAAGTTAGACCACCATGAAAAACCTGGAAGCACTGGATGGCCATTTTGTCCTATTGTCGGACTCCTCAGCAGTGAGTATACACGATCCCACCTCACGAGATTCGAACCCAGGACCTATCGGTTCTACTTAATTCATTCTAATTATAGTTTAATTATTTTGCCAGAGCATTTGAACGTTCAGAATTGAACGTTAATTTAAATACAGATGCTTTATGCTCCTAACTGATATCTCAGGACAATAGAATCATACTGCGAATTGATTATTTAAACTGAATTTATTATATCTGTAGTGAACGGGAGCACCAGTAGGAACAGCCAAATGTGTTTAAACACAAAATTACAGAATCTCTTAGTAAAATCTGAGAACTATACAATAAATTTTTCATTTGCAAAATGTCAACCAATTGTCTCAAACTTCTTCGTTTTCCCACCAATCAATCTTTGTTCTCGTTCTCTTTTCCTCGATCTTCTTAACCTTGTGCCACCAGCTGCATAAGTGCTGGTGGTGGCGTGAGATCAATGCACGTATAGTGAAAACCAGAGCGGCTTATGCCAGTCTGGGCCATCTTTGACGCCTTCGTGGTGTTAGTCTGGCTGTAAAAGGTCGGATCTACAACGGGTTGGTGAGAGCAGTTCAGCTCTATGCTTGTGAAACCTGGCCTCTCTGAGTTGAGGAGGTTAGACGACTCTCTGTGTTTGATCATCGTTGTCTCCGAAGGATTGCTGACATTCAGTGGTAACACCATCTCAGTAATGCAGAGGTTCGGCATCGTGTGTTCGGGCACAGAGACAACAATTCAATTGGTATCACCATCTTGAAACACCGATTTCGGTGGCTTGGACATGTTCTACGAATGTCGTCCCGGAGAATTCCTCGTCGTGCATTATTTGCCGACTCTGGGACTGGTTTGAAAAAGCGGAGAGGTGGTCAGTGTATGACATGGTGTCGTGGTATGAAAGAAAGCTGCAAAGGGCTAGCTTCTGTTGGTCCTTCACGACTCCCTGGCTGGGGTCCTAGAGATGGTGTGACACAGTGGCTAGAGACGTTATCAGATATGGCTCAGAATAGAAGCTAATGGCGATCCTGCTGCAACCTTCTTTTACTTTCTTCGTAAAGAGTGGTTGCTTCTTCCTTAATTGGAAGATTTCTCCTGATTGTACCTTTTCGTTTCCCCCATTATTACTACCATTACACTACATTACACTAATCTGGTCGTTATTGTTTTTTTCCCTTCTCTTAAAATTCCTCACTTGTGTGGCGCATATATATTTGGTGCCCCTTGTACCAATATTTATGTGTTCAAATAAAGTAAAATAAATAAATGTGCCACTAGACATTTCACTTTTGATTGATGATACATACTACTTATATCTGTCGATATTAGTAGCATACACTACATATCTACTTTATTTTCCCTGTCCAGTAAGTAGCGTGCAATCGAACTACAATTATTATTTGTTCACTAGAGATAATTATTCATTGGAATCTATACAATAAAGCATATAGATGCATGTGTTGAAACGAACCTATGTAAATGTTTACACATAACTGGAGACAAGACATTGAAGAGGAAAAAAAGACAAAGAGAGTAGTTTCCTACTATTAAATATAGTGTAGAACTAGTTATACCAAGGGAAATTTACTGTTAAGTTTACTCTCAAGTTGCATTTCAATCAATCTTTCTAGTATTTCGAAGATTACGTAACATTTGGATGAATAAACTCTTTGTTTCGGATTTATTCAATTTAGGCCCCCAAATGCCCTGCATAGCCGAGAATGGGGAGAGTCAGCTCTCTCTACATATATATCCAAATACTATCACACAGAGAACGTAAATTTTCAGATCAAATACCATAATAGTAGAAGTAGTAACAGTGTCAGAAGTAATAAGAAAGTTTAGTCATTGAAGATACGACTCGAAAAATGTACGAATTAGCGAATTAAAAATGAAAGAAGAGTTATGAAGAATTTCGAGTCTGAGAATTCGTAGGAACTCAAAGAATGGATACACTTGAGACACTGTAGATATTTTAGATCTACATCATTCAAAGTTCCTAACCATTAGTTTCGAAAATCATAAGCACCTCAGCCGGATATATTTTTAGCCAATAGTAATTTCGACAAATGTTTCAGTGAACATTACTGAAATAGTAAATATTACTAATCACTGTGTTCTTGTTTACGATCATAGTATAATAATAATAATAATAATAATAATAAGTAGTAGTCTTGGTTATGTACAACTGTTTGTTCATTCATCGCCCATTAAGTTTCAACGGGCACCATCTTGTCGATCGTCATGAATATTTTCATTTTATGTTAGTGTGCAGCGCACATAGTTCACATGCATCAAACCAAGTTTCTTTTGTAATTGTGTACTAGTTTAGTGATTACATCTCTGAATAAAACTAAGTGAAGAGGGATAGAATTCGCCAGATATCAGTTCCCTCAAAGACTACAGGTATACCATGTTGACGAGTGCTAAATAACATGGAACCTAAGTCAATAGGAGTATCTTGTCGACTACCCCCAATTATAGCCTTATATCTGAATATAGTGAATGTAGTATCGAGTAAATTAGACTAATGAATACATTACAGCTTGATTAATATAATCTGATCAGCACTAAAAAGGACTTGATATACATGACATTTATCACTAACCAGTGATCAATTAATTGTTAAGTCAATAATAACATTTGATTATTGTATAATAATATACAAACAAAACAAAAAAAATCAATCTGTTGACTTACTTTTACGTTGTCGTGGAACTTTAGTAGCTCCATTCCCTGTTGTACTTGATACATTTCCTGAAGAAGAAGAAGACGATGAAGATGATCCATGTAATGAATTCAATGTATTTGAATAATTCATTGTACAATTAGTAATTGATGTTTGAGAAATAATAGGTGGATTAATAATAGGACATAATATTGACGAACCAACTGAATTTGAATAATAACCAGGTATTGTTTCCTTAAGTAATGTAATTCCATTCCAATATGACTGTGGATCATTAATTGTTCTACCTGATGATGATGATGATGACGACGACGATGATGATGATGATGAAGATGAAGATGATGAAGAAGAAGCTGACGATAAAGAGGAAGATGATGGTATTGGTATTAAATTGACTAATTCAGTAACTGAAGGATTATTATTATTACTATTACTTGTCTGACACTGATTATTATTATTATTATTATAATTTCCAATAAATGTTTGTTGCATATCAATGGTTTGTTGTTGTACAGATAATTGAGATAAACTTGTAGTAGTAGTAGTAGTAGTAGTCGTAGTCGTAGTCGTAGTCGTAGTCGTAGTAGTAACTGATGCCCAATTACTTGATAAATTAGAAGTAATCAGTATATGCCATATCAATTCATTTTGATAATGAATACATCATTAGTATTATCATTATTAGTATACTATTTGTAATTTGGAGAACATTTAACAATATTCAATTCATTCAAATGAATATCTAGTTTTTATTTTCATTCTAGTTCATTACAATAATATTATTACTATACATTATATACATTGTATAGTAATATATTAATGACGGTTAAATAATGATAAGATTTATACTATTAGTTTTGGACATGTTTTAATATAATATTAAAATAAGCTAAGACTGATTATGGCTAGAATCAGGTCATGACCTAACTTCAAAGAATATATATATATATACATAGCTGGATAGATAGCTAGCTAGCTAGATAGATAGATAGAGAGATAGATAGATAGATGGATATACAACTAATTGTTGATTGGTTCACATTATAAAACTCATTTAAATGTGCGGTTAATTTATAGAATACAAAAAAAAAAGAAAAAAAATTTTTTATCTACTCTTTATTTCTTTTTATTTCAATGGAAATTTTTTCATAACCATTTTTGTCATATTTTATTAGAAAACTTTATTCTTATTGGTTAATTTTTCTTTTTTTTGGTTTTGCTTTTTGAAAGGGGTCAAATAGGGGTCAATAGTGATCAATCAATAGAACAGGTGTGTAATCTTATAACAACAACAACAACAACAAAAAGAAAAATATTATCGAATAAATTTGCACAAAGTTATATAATGACTTTGTGTTGTTTTATTTGGATCTTCCCATTGTTATTTAGTACTGCAATTGATCAGTCTCTTGTTGGCGTATGTGCATCCTGTGAGGATTGCCTCGATATAGTCTGAAGTTATAAGCTTTTTAAGCAAAGATGGATAGTGGCTAGTAATGATATCCAGTTTGATACTCGTTTCGTTCTATTTAAGACTCGTCACCTGGATGTACTTGCATCGCAGAGTTAATGTTCACTCCTGAACTCGAACCTAGTACCGTTTGCTTCAAACGTCATCGCGTTATCCACTTATTTGTTGAGTACTGATAGCCACCTGCTTGTGTAATGTGGTGAAGATTAAATCCACTTGCTGTTGTTTTATTCGTATCTTCCCAATGTTATTTAAGAATTCAATTGATTAGTCTTTTGTTGATATATGTGCATCCTGTGTGGATTGTTCCGATATTGCCTGAATTCCACTACTAGCCACTGACCATGTTTCCTTATAAAGCTTGTGAATTAAGGCAATTTCGAGGCAGTCCACACAGGATTCATATATGTCAACAAGAGAGAGATCAATTTCAGTCCTAAATAACAATTGGAAGATACAAGTAAAACAACATCAAGTCAATTTAAACTACACTTCATTGCACAAGTAGCTGGCTATCGGAACTCAGTAGTTAAGTGCATAACGCGATGGTGTTTGAAGTGAACTGTACTGTGTTTGAGTTCCGGAGTGAATATTAACTCTACGATGCAAGTACATCCAGCCGATGAGTCCGAAATAGGACGAAACGTGTGTCAAACTGGATTCCACTGCTAGTCACTATCCGAAGTTTTATATTGTATAAAAAACTTGAGATATTTTTCTTTCCCCAGATTCATACTAAGAAAGGGGTTGGAATATTCTCATTGAAAACATTAACACCGTTGGGTGCCGGTCAGCTCAGTGGTCTAGTGGTTAAGCCAAAATAGGATGAAATGACCGTTCAATGCTTTCGGGTTTTCAATGGTGATCTAGCTATAATCGACTCATGAATTCAATTATTCGATAAAAAATTGTTAATTTGAGGTTATGAGAGCTGTCTCGTCCTATTGTGAAGCTTATCAGCAGTATGTTTGCACAAAAACTCCTTGAGATCGAACCCAATACCTTCTTGTCGCGTAGCGAGACTATCTTTCTTATGAAGTGGTATTTTCTGGAGAATCGCTGAAAATGCAGAAGTACTAAAAAGAAGTGTTTTGCGTTATCTGGAATCACTTGGCAATCTGCACCCGTGGTAATAAACTAGATCGAAATCATATAATTAATATTTCACATTCACCATGCTATCACCAGACAATTGAGTCAGAGTCCAACCTTAACATTTCCAACTCTATTTAATTCGTGATAATATTACTTACGCATGTTACCCCTCATAGAGAAGCATAGAAGGCTCACCAGCATTCTCCATCCAACTCTGTCCTTGGCAACCCTTTCCAGTTCTTATTCATCCTTTTCATGTCTGCTTAAAATTCCGATTCAATGTGTTATTTGGCCTTCCTCTTGTCAGTTTCCTTTCAGGATACAGTTTGATGATTTCCGTAATTTATGTCCTATCCACTTCCATAGTCTTTTCCTGATTTCCTCTTCAGCTGGAAGTTGGTTTCTTCTCTCTCACAGTAGGTTGTTGCTGATCGTATCCGGTCAACAAACATTGAGTATCTTGTGTAGACAATTGTTTATAAATACTTGTACTTTTTTATTATGTTTGTAGTAATTCTTGGAGTTTCAGCACCATACGTTAGAACATTTTTGGCGTTCGTATTGAAGGTTGTGACCTTAGTGTTGGTTGAGAGTTGTTTTGAATTCCATATATTCTTGAACTTTAGGAATGCTATTGTTGCTTTGCCAATCCTTGTCTTTACATCTGCATCAGATCCTTCTTGTTCATTGATGTTACTTCCCAGATACGTGAAAGTTTCCACCTCTTCCAGAGTTTCTCCATCAAATGTGATTGGTTTCATGCTCTCCGCATTGTATTTGAGGATCTTGCCTTATCATTTGTGATAATATAGCATGACAATAATTCAATGTCATCGGTTAGTTACTATCCAATGCTACATGACTTTTCATTCTTCTTCTTCTACTTCAAATAATCTTCAAATTGAATTAATTTTTACAAGATACACAAGTAAACTTGTATTAAAGATAGATATAACAAATCATAAACATCATCAGTAATACAAATGATTGTTGAAATATTTTCATTCAATAATGAATGATAGAGTAATAATTTCATTACCGCCAAAGACAACAGATGGTAACCTATGGACATATTGTACTCGGACAGTTTCTGTATAAAATTAAGTTTAGCTTGCTAATTATGTTAATAAACAGTCTGTAACAGTTAAGCACTACATCAGGTAAGTTGAAAATTAAATAGTTTACTAATAGCATTACAGACACTTCCAAATGCCCTGGTACACCCGAGAGTGGGGAGAGTCAGCTCTCTCCTTCTCCAAATGCTATCCCATAGCCATGTGCAAATAATCATTACCAAGCAAGTCCTACTCACTGCTTTCTAGCGCCATTACTGTTGTTTACGAAATCGAGAAGACGAAAAGCGAATATCCAGCTCTTTAACCGGATTGGTGGAAACATACAGTCCACCTAAGGGGAGTTGAGAAACCCTCATTACAAACCAATGGTGCAGATGGGCTCTAGGATCCTGACGGTACAAATGGTGTATGGACCAATTATTAGTCACGGACTACCATGGGACTGCATCTCCTTACGATGCTCCACCACCCTGTGGATCAGACCTTTAGGTCGAAAGCTCCGTATGTGGCTCCCTAAGAAAACCACCTGCTTCAGTTTAGACACCTGTGTAGTATCCCATCCCTCACACAAATCGAATGATTTATGTGGCGCATATCTATTCAGTGTCCGTTTGTACCAATGTTTACGTGTTTAAATAAATAAAATAAATAAAACATTACAGACAATGAATAATGTAGAAAATGATATAACCGTAGTTGAGTTTGATTTTTAATCGACAAGGTGACAGATACTATGACGTAATCACATGTACAACCATCTACTAAGTGATTACATTCATTAATATCATATATTACATTGAATGAAAACTGTTTATATATATATATATATATATATATATATATTTCTGTAAAGCTACCAGTTATACATCTCTGACATTATTTGGTAGAAGAAACAAGGAATGAATTTCATGCATGTTTGAATAAATCAGTAAGATTTGTATACAATATTGAGAAAGCTGAGAATTCTTTGCAAATTTATCACTCAGTGGAGGATATATAAAATTTAGGTGGTTGAAGATGATCAGTAGATGAACCTAAATCAAAGTTTGATACATCAGATAGAGAAGTATATCTTCAAGTCTTAGGAAACTGACATGAATGTGACCACTTGATATTACAGAAGATGACGTAACGATTTAACTATTCGTGTTCTACCTGTCATTTATGTTTACTTACCTTTCAATTTGATCTCTTCATGGTGTTATGTTCCAAATTGTTATTTGGCGGTCTACAGAATCATTTATAATATAAAAAACTGACAACAGACGATTTAAAATCAATTCAGTCTCAATACCAACTTGGAAAAGGCAGGAAACTGAGGACCTGTATTAGTCTTAGTGATGGAGTAGACAAATATTGAAGTGCAGAATTAAACCGGTTGATGATTATGTAGGAAATCTGATAGTCAAGAGACTCGTAATTTGTTCAGGGCTTGTAGATATCTTGGTGTCTTTGAAAATCCTCTTCCGGAAAACAAGAAAAATGAGTCCAGGTCAGATGTAAGGATAATTTTTAAATAAGATGGTGGTCAGAGGTGGTCAACAAAAAAACCCTGAACCTAGTTGTATCCGTAATCTTGAATAGACTGATGCTCCCTGTCGGATTCTGTCCCATACAAGTCAATTTCATTTTTAGACCTTCTATATGTCCTTGGCAACAATCCGCTAAATTGCGATTACTTTGGACTTTATCCAATAAATCACTTTCGTTTTTAAGACAAATACATTCTTCCTCTTTAAATGTTACCTTTGCTTGGATACAATACTCAAGTTGTTTGTTTACTGTTATTGTTTTAGCGATGTTTCCTTTAGATGAGATTTACAAAATGCATGATTACCAGTTCATATGAGGTTATCAGTATAGGATTGTGGAGATTACTAAAGTTTTCATTGAGATCATGAATTGATTGATGTTAGACCACTACTGAAAACCTGGAAGCACTCTATGGCTATTTCGTCCCATTGTGGAACTCTTTAGCAGTGCGCATGCACGATCCCGCTCGCCGGGTTCGAACCCATGCCCTTCGGTCTCGCGCGCGAAAGTATAATTAAACTTGTGCATTAATATAAAATGAATCGTGATATCAATAAATCATTCAAATAAACTGTACTGTAAGAATATAAGCTAGAGATGGCGTTTAGATAATTGATTGTTTGGATTGATAAGTGTGGTTAGACGATCACTGAAATTTTTCGGCATTATATTATACACTCCAAAGGCAATCACAACTATTTTATTGAGTTACATATTACATATATGGCAAACCTGCTAGAAATATGGAACTATCCTTAGCTCTAATGATGGTACTGGGACAGTACTTTCTTATCAAAGGGAGTTTTGAAATGTATTCAAAATCTTACTTTACCAACTCCTACTTTTGATTACCAGATTGTCTGTTTTATGGTTAATTCCTTTGATTGTTAAATGTATGTATATCGTTTCATGTGTTTACCGAATTGTTTGTTCATTTTTCTCAGTTAAACTTCTCTTTTCCATATTTCCATGCACATATTACTCTGAATATGTCACCTATGAGCACATAGTGTATCTTTAAGCCAGATACGAACCATTACCTATTTACCTATCATTGTGGGGATTTACTCCTTAAGCAATTATAGCTCTCTAATCGAATCGCACATTGCAATACTACTAGTGATAGATGTTTACTCGAAAAATTACCGAACAGCCATTATTTGAAATTTGAATATGGTAGTATTGTGAATGAATTAATTTGTTTAGCACCTGATGCCTTTTTCAGGATAAAAATATAATACTCAGCCAGTAATTTATAGATGGTGTTAGTTGATGATTAGGGGTATTTGCATTACTGTACGAATTAAGAATCTGAGAACTATATAAGCACGAGCAAACGTATTGTATTTGGAATTCGAAACCAGGCAGTCATCAAGTACAAAGTTCATACAAACACGACAAATACGTTCATAAATCTGTAAATTAATAACCTTACTTACTTACGCCTCTTACTCCCGATGGAGCATAGACCGTTGACCAGTATTCTCCAACCCACTCTGTCCTCGACCTTCCTATCTAGTTCTATCCAATTCTTGTTCGTTTTTCTCATGTCTGTCTTCATTTCTCGGTGTAATGTGTTTTTTGGTCTCCCTCTTCTCATTCGGTCTTCAGGATTCCCTGTGAGGGCTTGCCTTGTGGCGCAGTTCGGTGCTGTCCTCAATGTACATCCTATCAAATTCCAGTGCTTCTTCCTGATCCCTTCCTCCACTGGAATCTGGTTTGTTATTCAATTGTAGATATGCTGCTCTTGCTTTGCCGATCCGTGCCTTCAAATCTGCATCAGATCCACAGTGTTCATCAATGATGCTGCCTAGGTATGTAAAGGTTTTTACATCTTCCAAATCTTTTCCATCAAGTGTGATTCGATTGTTGCATACTATGTTGTATCGGAAAATCTTGCTTTTCCCTTTGTGTATGTTGAGACCTACTGATGCTGAGGCTGCAAATTAATAACCTTACCCATAATCAACTATTACCGAATATTACTCAGAATTTTTACAATCTGATTCTTTTAAGAAATGTATCAGTCAAGGAATCGATTTTAAGTATATTGTTATTCCAGAGATTCTTAGGATGGAAGAGAAATAGTCACATCAATTTTTTTTATACTACTTGTTAATTTAAGTATTAATTTACAAACCAACTCATTATTTAAATATTTTCATGAATAATAAATTTACAACTATCTAAATACTTATGTAAAGGATGTACTATACTTCCAGTTGATTTAATATATTTGAATTCATGAGTCGATTTAAGCTGGATCACCATGAAAATACTTAGAAGCACGGCCGTTTTGTCTTACTATGAGACTCCTCAGTAGTTCGCATACACGATCCTGCTTCGCAAGATTCGAACCCAGAACCTATCTGTCTCATTTGCGAACACTTAACCCCTAAACCATTGAGCCATAATCATTATGTGCTCACTAGTGACTGGCATCAAGTGGTATTTCCTGCAGTTCTGGTGAGAAGCAGTGATTAGTGGAGTTCAGTCGGGTCTGTTGTGAGATAATAACTCAGTGAAGACAATGGTGGATGTGTCGCTGAATTTCGTGTATTGGTTGAAGTTAAACGTTAACACCGTTGAACGCCGGCTCAGCAGTGTTCTAGAGGTTAACCGTTCGTGCGAGATCGATATGTCCTTGGTTCGAAACTCCCGAGGCGGGATCATGGATGCGATTCGCTGAGGAGTCCCATACTAGGACGGAGTGGTTGACCAGTCCTTCCAGGTCCTTTTCTGATGGTCTAACTTCAGTTGACTCATGATTTCAACAATTTCCAAAAATCTCCACAAAACCCCTTCTCATAATGATCTTTCAATTAAACAATGAAACAAATTCGTGGATTGATTGAAGTTAGACATTAATATCGTTAGATGGGTTTGCACGCGAGACTTAATAGGTCCTGAGTTCAAATCCCACGGGGTGGGATCATGGATAAGTACTGTTGAAGAGTCCTATTCTAGTATGAAACGGATATCCAGTGATTCCAGGTTTTCTATGATGGTTTAGGTTCAATCGATTCATGATCTCAACGATTAAAAATTATAAATTATTAATTGTTAGTTCTATTAATATGGTAAGTAATTAATTATTGAAGAAAATATTAGTCAGTAATGTCACATTACATTATTATAGCGGAACAAAGTTGTTGCGACAAATGTCATTGTAGACAAAGTGAAAGCAAAACGAAACAATAAGCTTATAGGATTTAAGAAAGAATAAATTCACAGAAGAAAAATTATAATATGATTCTGGAGTATGGTTATAGAATGTCTCAAACAATTGGCTACGACAATTATTTAGGATCTTAATCAGGCATTTTATACTTGTCCATATGGTACAGGTCAATAGATAATGGTTTTACGAACTGATGTTACAACTTGGTTTACATACATTTAGCTTCTTTCTGATCTATTTCTACATTGGTTAGTATCGCATGTTAAGCTCGGGAACGATTGGATATACGTAATGTACGCGAATGAGTGAGTTTATTTTTGATTAGTTACACAGTTTTACTGTTGAATGTGATACGTATTAACCGTTCTTCTTATACTTTTAAGACTAAATTACCAACGAAAACCATATTGACTATGTATTAGTTTGATTGTAACAAAGTTCTTCTAAGTGAAATAAAGAAACTTACAAATCCCGATGTATTTCGCTCGGACTTGTCAAACTTACAAGGGTAGTATTTGACTAATTCAGTGTTAATATAATAACGGATTATGATATTCATTTTTTGTATTGTTTGTTTAAACCTTCCTATTGATGTAAAGGCCTTCAATTGATCAATCTCTTATTGAAATATATGCATTCTGTGCGGATTATCTCGATATTGCCTTAAGTTACAAGCATCCATCTCTGCTTATAATGCTTGTGATTTAAAGTAATATCGAGACAATTTGAATAAGATGAACAGGCACATATATCAATTAGAGACTGATCATTTACAATCCCAAACATCAATGGGAAGATTCAAGTAACAAATACAAGATGAATTATACTTTACCCCATTACACAAGCTAGTGATTATCTGGATTTAGTAGCTACGTATTTAATGCGATGGTGTTTGAATCGAACGGTATTGGGTTCCAGTCGCAGAGTGAATATCGTCATAATATGAATTTAACTATTTAAATTACTATAATATCCATAAACTCCTCTTTGATTCTAATATCAATAATTTCCAAGATTACATCCATCTTCATAATATTCTTCTTTAGTATCATATTATTAGTCCATTCATTTATTTTTGCCTCTTCTCTTATTCTTAAACTTTAACCCAACATGATTAATCTTTCATTACTAACATTAAACCATCTGGTAATCTG